TGATCGAAAATTGAAATGAAATTTGAATTAAAATATTACAATATTAGTTACAAAAAAAAAAAAAAAACATTTTTTTTTTTTCAAATGGTATACGAATAATGCACGTTTTAATACATTTTTCTTTGATTATAGGAGGGGGAAAATGTTTAAACCACGAATACCTAATAATTAACTATGCGTGATGACCGTATTATTTTCTCTTATTCTCATTGAGCACTGAATAGTATTGCCACGATAGTCAGTAAAACGGTATATACATATATATATATATATATATATATATATATATTGTTACTGTGTCAGTTGTCAACATACTAAAATACTAAAAAAATATGCAAATGCACGTCAGGGTGTTTCATTTAAGTGCGGGTGTACTTATTATCTCGGAAAGTATGGAATTTTTTCGGAATTTGTTTTTTTAGAACGTTTAGTAAATAAGCAGCTCTATAATTTTACATTTATATTATTTTGGGGGGGGATAAGACCACCAGTCATATTTTCAAATTGTAACCTACATTTAAAATTCTATAAATAGACGGAGTATTACTTAAAATAAATGTTGGTGGTGGAATGTTTGATTTCCGTCAATCCGTTTACGAGATATTCAACTTTTAAGTTTGGGTCAAGAGATAGAGTAGTGGTGCATTATAAGAACGCCACACGCCGTGCTGTCACACAAATGATGCTCCACTATACTGTCCTTCGACCTAGACTTAAAAGTGGAATATCTCGTCGACTGAATGACAGAAATCAAAAATTTCAAAAATAAAATGTATTTTAATTAATGAATATAGGTAATTCGCAGAAAAATTACTGTGTGTAGATGCCGGGAGATGAATTTTGGTGAGTGGATAGTATAAACGATAATGGTCGTCTTGGTACTTTGTATCTAGCAACGGTATCTTTCATTGTTGTGGTATCTATTCGACTTCGGGCTTAGAAAATTATAATTTTATATTATATAGATATATTATAGAGGTATTCTTTATGTTATAAGTTTTTTTAAAACATCTTCAGTTTCGATATTACCAATTTATCTCTGATATTATCATCATTATCGACAAACGTGATAATTTTGTTTTATCAAATAAAATATATATTTTAAATCGCGTTCTTGGAATTGTTTTTCTACTATCTAAAGTGCGATTCTTATTCATTATTAATTTAATTAGTTTATTAAGATAGAAGATAAAAAGTACAATTTTCGATTTTAAATACGGGAGAAAAAAATAATTTTAGGCGATAATCGAGATTGATATTAATTGATTATTAATTTTCCGATGTGTCCAATAATATCAATATTATTGATATTTGATGTATCCCACGTCTAGGTTGTGCTACTAGTTGGTATACAGTAGCTATACAGAATTGGTTTTATATGTACGCCGCTCGCCGGTTTATTATAAACACCGCATTAAACCGTAGACCAGACAAAAGTCTCGGGCGGTTTAATAATTTATTACGTCGGCCGTCGTGAAGAAAAGGACCGGCGTGCGGTTGTGGGTCCGTAGAGACACGGCGAGGCTGACGCGCTAATCTACTCGACAAAAGCCTTAAGCGGACGACGATGAACGACCGGGAGGTAGAGGAGAAAAACCAGGAGTCGGTGGATATAATAAGAGGAGACGAACAAAATATACATTACTCCAGGACTCCGACACCACCACGGCACTTTGGCAATTATATTATTATTACCTGATGTGCGTGTGTGTGTTTATGTGTGTTTGCGTAATTCATTACACTGTGCAATACTTCGTACATCAGAGAAAGATTTTTTTTCAGAAAAGTTGTTTACAGACAAAAAACCACATAGATAGTAAAACCAATAGATCTCTTGTTACGCTCCAAATCTAATGCGACTTATAATACTCTGCTTAGAATCGTTCTTCTTTAGCAATGAATTTCCGTTGATATTAATTAAATTAAACTCTATATTTTTTAACATTCCTCCTACAACAGTGGTGCACTCATTGGCAGTGCAGCCTTTTTTGTATGATTGATATTAAGTTGTACATTATTGTTTATTATTCATAGTTTAGGAATACTGAATAAACAATTATTTAATTTGATTAAACGGCTGAATTAGGTTAGAAACAAATTTAAATTTAACCAGATCCATTTCTAACATTCTGCGGGATTAATAAATATTTCTATATACCCAGCCATTTTTTAAAAATCGTTTTTTCTAAAGTTTTATCGAGTCAATCTTAATTAGCGAATGGATTTACATACCTACCATACAGTTATACATTATTATCATCTGTTATGAAACTATATTGGGACTGCAATATGCTGCGATTATATATTTTAGTTTAATAAAACAATAATTGTCGTTAAATTCTCGAGTTGTTGAAAACTATTTGCTCTGCGCGTTGTTGTTTTAAGGCGTGTCCTAAGAGGGTAGAGGGGTAGGCGCTGCAGGGTTTTGAGTGTACTGAAAAATTTATGAGATACAGACGTGAGTTTTAGCCAAAAGTTGTTTAAAAGTATATAAATAAAACATTAAAACGGCCGAGTAAAATGTTTTAAGGAGAAAGAGAAAAATGCAAGAGAAACAAAAATGTATAATTAAATCGAGATTTATACGTATATATTAATATATTTTCACTTTTTCGACGAAAACTCTTAAGTAATTTTTTGTTTTGTTTTTTAAAGATGAGTCTCTAAAATAATAATAAAAAAATAAATATGAATATTTTTATAAACACTTTGATAGTTATGGTAGTATTCTTGCGATGTTATAATATTTTTTGCAAACAAATTAATGCAAAAGAGAAGAGTAGGTACCTATAAAAAATGTATTAACAAACTGTACAAAGTTCTAAAACATTTTCACCTGTACGTTGTGAGAATATGATGTCGAAAAGTACAATATGAAATATCCCAGTAAACTCGGTGAAATATAATTTCTAAAACGAGAAAAATAAATTTTATAAGTAGAAACATCGGTTGAGGGGGGTGGTGGGGGGAATAATATTAGATGATATTATAATATAAATAACTAACTAGGCACGTCAGCCACTTATTATAAATATTATATTTTGTTCTAAGTTTGCGCTGGTGACACCTGTTTTCTTGATTAGTTAATTAGAGATAACAGAACTCCATTTCGGCCTTACTCGATCGACCGGTGGCGATCATTAATAATCGCCAACTACTATGAAAAATTTTCTTAGGAAATGAATGGTTTTGGAGGTGATCCATCTTAATACGCATAATTCTGTGTGTACTAGTACTCGTATATAATATATTATCTGAATTGTAAATTATAATTGTTATTGTAATTGATGGAATATTGAATATTATTATCACTATCAACGAATTGAAATATTATCCTTTTAACCAGTGACTGCCATAAAATCTGCACGACTGATAAATTTCTAACATAACTAGTTAATTAAATTATGATTTATGGATGGTATTGCAATAAATTGTTGGTATTTAAAAAAAAATATATTGCGGGAGATAATTTTAACGGTTAAAGAGACGAAGAAAAAACAGAAAGTTATGTACATAGTGTAAGTATAATATTTGGAGAAAATAATACTTTGGAGATAATCTAAAAAGAAAAAATCTGAGGCACCACAGAGAAGCCAAAACCTACTCTTGCAGGCAATGCTGGAACAAAGACCTGTAATAGGGAAAATACCTTTACTACAATTTTGAGAATAAAATGGGAAGATGTAGTAAAAAAAAAAAAAGAAGAATATGTAGAAGCTTTAGGCTGTGCGAACCAAATTTGAAGATTTTTGGCGATGGAGAGAGATAGCCAAAGAATCATTTGTGAGACAACGGGATGGTCTTGTAAAAGCCGAATAAACCCCAATAATAATGATGATTTTATTATAAGAAAAGCAAAAAATGTAATTTTCACTAAACAAAATATTTTAATCGTAATTTACTTGTTTCGTTCATATTTCACTGTAGTTGAAGTTCTATACAATGAAAATTAGGTACAGCTATATTCACAATATAAATAATACATTTACATTTTCGGTACAAAATATATAGAACCCTAACAAAGTTTTCGATAAGTAATTTAAAGATAAAGATAAAATAATTTTACGGGGTTTGCGATGAGGATGTGCGCGTAATATTGTATTAAAGTTTTATTATATCACAGCGCTTGTACAATTTAAAGTCTAAACGTATTTAATATTGTACAGAGAGAATTTATTTAATTTGCATTGTTTTTGTTAAATCAATAAATATATATAGTTTAAATTAAAGAGAATATTTCCTTTTACGGCGGCGGCGTAGCACAATATTTAACTAACGACAACATCATCATTAGATTGTTGCACAGTAATCTAGTTAAGAAAAATTCTACATATATACTAAATATTAATAATTTCTTGAAAACTTTTTGTTCCGAAAAAGTTACAATTATTTAAGATAATGTCGATCACTTTTCTCCGGCGACGGCTCTCGTCGTTCTATCAATCACAATAATTACATTATTACACGGATAAGTATATATTAGAAGTAGGTATACACTAAGTGTATAATATTTCGGCAGTAGACAATTTTGTATATAAGTATATAACTTTATGTAAAGCTTACATAATAATATACAATTTTTCCAATATTTTAGAGGTTATACGATTTTAAATGAATTTAAACGACAACTCATAAACTTAAAATAATTGAAATATTCTTTTAAAAAATGTAACTATATGTTTAAAAATGGTCTCGTGTCATTTTTGCAAGTATTTATTACGTGCACTTAATCGTGAAATTTGTTGAAAATTATGTTAACGTAAAATGAATAAAGTGAGTATGGCAAAATGCAAAGGGACCTATTAAGAGATGCGTTTTATTAAGATGTGTGTATTTTATATTTTTTATTATGTCTTTACCGAATTATTCCTTTTATACATTTTTATTTCTCAATAAGTTTTTCGTGGTTAAAATGAAGCAAAATGAAGTAAAAATTAAAACATACGTATCATGATAAAAAATGAAGATATAAAAAAGAAATCATTCGGTCGAAGCATAGTGTAAATTCTATTCTTTTTAAAATAAATAACACAGGGTTTCTTTACCCTACATTCTCAGCCGGAGGGTCACAAATGTGAAAGTGTACAACGGCTTTGTTGCTATAGATTACACGCGAGACAGACAGAGAAATCGAATGTTATGATAGCATCTTGCTACTTAAGAGAATGCACCTGTCTGTTGTATTTAAGGGATTGAGTATACACATTTTTATCAACGTTTTTAAAAAAATATAAATTTATTAACCAAACAAATATTCAAATTCTCTGAATATTAAATTTACAAATGTACGTGTAATCTTGACATAATCAAGTGTTTACAAAGAAACCATTTTATCGAGAAACCAATGTCAGATCGGTACCAGGAGAAATAGTATATTTTATAAATCGTCTAATTTACGGACTATAAATCATATTTTAGTAATAAATTATAATTATAATTATCATTATTTTATTTTTTATTTTACTAGGTATATTGTCTTCGACTGCAGAGACATAAGACTAAAAAGTTTTACATACGTTTTGTATTATACATATTATTTAAAATAAACTCAAAATTAAATACAATTTCAAAATCAAAATATGTTTACATTCAAATTATTTATTTACAAAATTTAAAGACGCATTTTATAAGCAACTCTACCAACATAGAAGACGCTTTAGGCCAAACCTACATGGATACTTAATTTTTACAACGCCACTTGACTCATAAACCTATTATCATTATTTTACCTATCGTATGCATTATTTTCCAGTGTTCATGCGTGTTCCCGTGGTGCATTGTATTCGTTCGCTTTCGTTCGAGTAGCGGGACATCGATTTGTTTGGGAATTATTTGTATTCAGACGGATGTTGCTATATGATCCAAATACAGTATTTTTTATTTTGTGTACTTGAATTCGGGTAATGTTTAAACAGAGCACATGCTGACGTACCCGAATTGAATCGAAAAAAGCGATATCGTCCGATCGCATCCGTTTACCTAGGTCGATTTTCCGGACGGGGCTTTAACAAACAACTCGTCGTCAATTGCTGCGGCGCACGTGACGAATTTTACAAGAAATTTCGCTGGTCCACAGAGACAATGATAAAAATTTAATATAAAAACAGCCCTCATGAAGAGGTCGGCGGTTACTGCATTGAAGCCGTCGAGTTGTCGTGTCTGGGCCGAGCGTTTATTCTTCGCGTGAAAGAAAAGCACAACGGTTTTCCTATTGTCGGTGACTCAGCGCGCGTTGTTCGGCCCGAATAGTTTTTTCCTCCTTATTATTTTCTACCAACATTCTATAAAATATTTTTTTAAAAAAGGTCGTATTGTTTGGACGAATTTAAAATACGGGTCTTTATTTTTTGCGTTTTTTCGTTCAACATACATACAATGCCCAGTATAAATATATGTAATGATTAATGACGCACATAATTTCTTTAAAGATATACAATAATAATAATGTATTGTATAATATTTTATGTGCCGGTCAAAAGGAAATCGACAGAGAAACAATATATGTGTTTTTCTTCTTAATACCTATCAACTTATTATTAACGATATTTTCTGAAAAATGAAAAACACGCTATTAACATTGTATAGCAACAATTCCCCGAACAAAGTCTTAGTGCCTAATGAAGTTCACAACACGATAATATGTAGCATATTATTATAATATGATTAGACCTTGGACCTTTTGATTTTCCAAACAGTTTTCATAATAATAGCGAAAATACCCAAGTAAAAAACGTAGAAAAAAAAATGGGAAAATAATGCTATTATTATTTTCAATTTTGATTTTTTGTTCGAATTGAGTTGATAAAATTCGTAGATAACTTAAAATTTAAACAGAAAACTTATAATTCCTATTCCTATACGTGGTAACATTTTTAAGACATTTGAGCCATTTTTGGTAGATTAGATTAGCTATTTACGGACATTTTTATTTTGCGTGGTTTTTTGCGATTTTTATTCGGTAGGTGGATATTGATCTGAAGATACAATTATTAGACTAAAGAGAAATGCTTGAAAATTAAACAGGAGATTCTTATATTTTTTACTTAGTAGTGAAGAAAAAATAAGATGAATGTAGTATTTTTTTTTATAAGAATTTTAGTATTCAATTTTGACGAAAATCTTAAATAATAAGGCCTTTCAAAACATGTGTAACCTAATTTCCCTCTGAATCAAATTTCATTACAACAGTTTATCGTTGCGTACAGATATAAATTGAATTCTCTATATCCTATCTTCCCAACTTCTCACCTGCAGCAGTGGCCAGTCATGCGAAGCATGTTTGTCTTTTTTTGTTTGTTAACAACTTTTTTACGAGAAATCCTACACCAATTAGAAATTGTATAGGAACTTTCATGTATGCATTATTTTTTTTATAGACATTTATGAGATAATTTCTTGAATTTTTTAGTAATCAGAAAAACTGGCAATGTGTGTATAATTTTTGTCGATTTTTGAGTAGTAATTTGTTCAGAATCGTTTTTCGTTAGGTATGATTTATGGTTGGATACATATTAAAACAAAATTATACTATATATCATTGCTTTCAGCTTTTTCCTTAAAAACTGTGGAACATCCATCAGCAGTATTCATTTTTTTTTTTTTTTTAGTTTATTTTCCATGGGTATGAATATTGATATTCTTTTCTGCGTTAAACTCGATCGCTTTTGAACTCCAATATAATATGTTGTATTCGTCCTGCACATCAACAATAAGGCGTCACACCGTACAAGCCGATGGAAATATTACGTACGACATGTTAATTTAATTATAATTATTATTTCTCAGTTAAAACCACGAAGCGTTGCGGCTGAACTTTTGAACGTTGCTATGAAACCGCAGTAGTTATTTGAAAAACTAATTAATTCCCTGGTTCCGAGTGCGTAAGTTATGTACATGTGTGTGAAACAGAAAACTGAAGACCCGACGACTGATATCGAAAAACCGCATTATAGTTTGTAGTTTGTAAACTGTTTTATCCGATGGACCCAACCCAGAGGGGGAGGGGGATAAAATAGTGAAATTATTTTAATCCTGCCGCCTAGACGACTCTGTTTCTGCCGCCACCGTCACCGTCGTCCTCATTATAATTCATCGCCGCGAAAATCCTCGGGCAACACGAAACCCGGTCGTCTCCACCGCGCCGACGCCACTACGGCTGCCATCTTCGTTCATCCATCACGACCACTGTCGACCGGATGACAGGCTGTTTTCCCACCGGACACACCACATGCTCCCGCCTCTTCCCGCCCGCGCTCTATAATAATAATATATCCAGCAGAAAATTCCCGGCTTTCTTTTCCGCTGGTCCGTTCGGTACTTAAAAACAAGGTAGATACTCCGAATTCGCGACGGGGTGGCCGGGCGTCGGTTTCGACCCGGGAGCGGCCGGGCGCCGGCGAAAAAGTTACGCCATTTGTCTGTGTCAACTCGCCGCCACTCCGATCGCCCACGCCACGGGTCCGTGTATATATTTTTTTCTTTTTACAAACAATCCTTCGCCACCGCCGTCTCTGCTCCTCTACGCCACCCGGTTTACCTCTGGCTACCGCGGCGGTGAACACGATTTCCGCTCCGTGCCGATTAGTTCGCGGCGCTCGACTCGGACCCGTATAATAAACGACCCCACACGACTAGTCGACGCGACGAGTGTCTTCATTAATTCACCGACAACGATTCCGAAATTTCTTGTATAAACGATACGCGTTTTATACGTGCGCATCTTGCGAATTCGTAAACGACAATTAGTTATTATATATGTCTTTTGGCGTATTTACGGGGGAGGGGAGAGTTTCAGGGAATTCCTGCCTCTTCGATATGTTTTTTTTTTTTTTTTTATTAGGTCCATATGATGAAAAATTATTTACAACATTGATAAGCAATAGGACTAGGATCAAAAATTAACTTTTGTTTAGCCCCGAGCGATAACACATACTTCACATTTTTATACTGTTTGTTATAATTAATGAGCACTGCAGTAGACGACGGCCGAAAATGATCATAACTGATTTTTAAAGTGTATGCACTATATATAAATACATAGTAAGGTACTTAGCACATTTCAAATATTTATAAATAGGTACTCATATTTTTTCTTCTAGAAATCACTAGCATCGATATATCGGTTAAATAAAAATACATTTCATCGAAACCAACCCGTGAATATTATGTTATTATAATATTTTAAACAGAATATAAATATATATAATAATAATAATAACAATGATAGACAAAACATGGGCGTAATATCGGGGGTACACGGGGATGCACTTGCTTCCACTTGAATTATTTCGAGGTGCAATACTATAATTTTTCCCCCGTTGAATTTTCTATAATTCAAATATATAAATAATGCTGAACTTTTAAATATTTATAAAGTAATGGTAATGACGATAACAGATGATCATCTGATAATTATCACGTCCTCGTGATACTTATCGACTTACAGTTCTTTTATTTTACGTATGTGAATTAGTAAACCGTTATTTTTGAAATCTATGTTTTTCCTCATAGACATATTAACTTGTTATCTATGTTTTTCCTAACTGTATTCTAAAATCAGTTGTAATCACGGTATGTATTATAGACATATAAAAGAATAGACCAGGAATGATACGAAATATGTGAGGCTAACAGAACATTATAGATCCGCAGTTTTATCAAAGAGAGTATAACTTTAATTATAGTGATAGTTTGTGATAAATAATAATATTCTGTATGTTATTCAATTAACTTTACATAATATAAACCCATTATCTGTTTATATACTAATTAATCTTAAATGGAGATAGTGATACCACAAAATAGATTAATGGTGATACCACATGGTCGCGAAAATTGTCGCTATGCTATTGAGTATCAAAGATCATATATAGTCTGTGAGAGTCATTTTATTCAAAATAAATGCACTTTAAATATCAATATATTAAATCACAATATTGACTAATTATTTATAGAATAAGACTAGGTAATTATTTATGATCAAAAAAAATTGTATTTGGAAACTGGAATTAAGTTGAAAGTAGCGAATAAAATTGCGAGTGTAGCGATCGATTTTGCAGAGAGATGGTAACTTTTCTGATTTGTTTTGCAACCCCCTGGATTTTAGTAAAATGACGCCTATGAGACAAAAAATATATAAACAGGGTGATCGTTATAACGTGTAAGGCACTTGTATTAATTCGAATATTCTTATTTGGAAAATTTAAGAAACAAGCAACTCTAAAATAATTTACCGCACCGTTTTTACTACCCTTATGTTTTGGGAAGAAACGATCGGGCAAACATAACCTTGGAAACCTAGGCACATTTCCAATAAAATAGCCTACATGAACACTTTTTGAACTCGTACATACTTTCTATTCTAAAATGTTACGTCGCCTTGATTTTGTTCACCTTTGTAATTATGGAATTGAAACAACTACGACGTTTTAATTTTCATACCGCCACCTTTATTAAATTCCATAAATAGATGAAGTTTCAGTTTAAATGAAAAACGAGAATGTTTCGTAAACGGTTTAACTAAAAGGTTCGTGTAATTTTCGTAGAACCTATCCTAACCTAACCTTTTAAATTTTTAATACGGGTTTCTGTTTGAAAATCAAAACATGGTAGCGGTTGGTTTAACCTTTCAGAGAGAACATCAGAGTGAAATAAATACGAGCGACGTAACGTTTTTAGGTTAGGTTAGTTATATTATAATATACGATTCGAGATTCCGAATGAAAAGTTTTCGTCACATACCTAGGCTTTTTTTGGAAAAAAAAAATAAGTTTCCGACTTCAGTTCAAACAGCCCTCGTCTGACCCCTCCCACCGACCACTTCGACCTTATTATGTACACATAAATATATTATATTTTTCAACAATGGCCTTTGTTCATGTTATTATAAATAATATATATATTTACTCGTTGGTATATAATAATATATAATACACAATAATAATAATATAAGCGGTGTGTAGCCGCTACTCCCACATAATCGGAACACCGCGCGTATACCGGTGTAGAATTTTCGAACCAATTAATTCCCTGGCAGCACCGAAGGAGGGAGGTAGGAGACACACGCGCGTATTAATCAGTGCCGCCAACTGCCGACGAGTTTCCATTTATATTCGCCGACAAATAATATAATAGTGTAGGTATTATATTATACTATTTCTCGTAATATATATATATTATATTATAATGCATTGTATATGCGGCGTATATTATTATATTATCATCGGGATGGAAGCGTCGGTGGTGGTGCACTGGTGCATAATATAGAGTACACTTTATTACGGTGACGTGTTCGCCGGTACGAATGGCAAAACGATGGTGGGAGAGCCGGAGACTGACGATTTGTTATAAAATATATACCTAATATTATTTTCGTCACCACCCGTATATTGCGTAATATAGACACGGGGTTTTTTCCCGTTATTTTCGTACAGGTGTTTTTTTTCCACTGTAAACATAAACGAGCCGTTCTTTACAAAAAAAAAAATCAATATTACATTATACTACGCCACAGCAGTTTATTATATATTGTGAATATTATTATCATAAGTATATATACTTATATTAATAAAGGTTCAAGAAAATATTAGAAAGTTATATTCTTCGGCTATTCTTCCGATTGTTGGCGGCGTTTCGAAACCCTCGTCGTTGTAAATCAAAAATTAGGATATTTTTAAATCGTTCGAAAAATCCAACGACAGCGGATTTTACAGAGTGTCACATTAAACGATAAGCACGATATAAATAATATCGTTTGCAAAGACATTTTTTTTTTCAAACGCGCTTGTTTCCTTGAATAATAATATTTAATTTCGACGGAATTTTGAACAGATTTTTTCTAGACTTTCAATCTGCAAGTGTTGTTTAAAGATACATTTTAAAATAACTTAAGACAAACACGATGAAAGGTTAATGATTTTAAAAACGGAAATATATGATACGTAACAATTTAATTATTTAGATTAAGTTAATTGGGCGGTAATTTTTTTATCTATATAAATATTTTTTTTTTTTATATTATAGTCAACAAATTTAAAGTATACAAATATTGCTGTATTATCAGTGACTTTGTCCACGACTTCACTCGTGTGCAATTTACATGTCTGTACAGTTTAGTGTCTGTGTATAACCCTAATTTGCTCCGAATCAGTGCCAACCAGGAACCTTCCGTTGCAAACCTTTTCGACCTTACCGGGTACGAAATGTTTGAGTTCAATTAATGGGTACCCGTTGGGAAGCAACCTCTTGACCTCCTCAGAAATGTATTACATTTTGGTCCTCTAATCACCTCTTTTACTCCCCTTTCTACCTACTCAAGTACTCTCTTTGCCTCTCTCGCCGTTGAGAAGTATTTATGAAATTGATAATTAATTTATAAACCATATCATCAATTGTATAAAAATTGTATTTTTTATTTCTAATAAGTATAACATTTACGATTTGAATGAATAATTAATATAGATGACTTAAGAATGCATACTACCATTCGTAATTATGCTATAAAAGCTGTTCCACGTGGACAAAAACACCCTGGCTGTAGACCTAATTACGGAACCGAATCTTCAGCACAGCAAAAGAAAAATTTTTATTCTTCATTTTTGAATACCACAAATTATAAAAAAAAAAAATTATTATTGCTCTGAAATCTGATAATTTTGAGTTTGCACCTTATATATAAAAAATAAACCAACGTGACCTAACGTGGGTTTTATTTTCTATTTTATTTTTTTTTATTATGAAAATTTGGTTTTTCATTCAATCTATAACCGGAGTAGTTTTTGCCCTTCCAAAAAGTTTGTTCCATTGTTATTTTCGTTAATTTCTCAATTATTTAATACATATGAGGCATTCCTCGTCAAATCACGGAGTTATCTGCCGACCCCTCTGTAATTTTGATTAAAATATCTGTTTTGAGTAAGTATCAAATTCTTTTAAAAAAAATCATATCAATTTTAAAAATTTCCATCTTCATGTTTCCCTCAAATTTAAAATATTAACAATGGTAACGCTCTCAACAATTGATGGAAAGATTTTATAAAATTAGAAGTTTCAGTTTAAAACAAATAAAAAATCCACTGTTCGTTAAAATTATAGCCGATAACCTTGTATTTTGGTATGGAATGCCAGATATACTTGTGATAATAACAGTGACTATTTATAAATGTATTTTAAATTTAATTTCTTATTTATAATTAGTATTTTTACAAGTTTCAAGAAAATTGCCTACACTCAACCCCTTAAATATGGATAAACACGTTCTCCTAATTGATATTGAGGCGCATAGAAAACAAGCGATATAAGTGACATTTTGAAAAAATCTGAGTTAAGAGCACGGCTAAACTAAAAATATTCCATTTAATTATGTGGTAAAGAAATGTAAGAAAATTATTCCACATATGTTGCAATCCAGTAATAAATACTAGATCTCACTAAAATAGTCTACAAATGAAAATGCCGAAACATATGAGAAGTAAATAGGTACAAGGATTCACAACAGTTGTTAACACACTTATGTATCTATACTGCCAAGTGTTCAAAACTTATTTTTATCGTTCGAACACAAGAACAGTGGTAATATGACAATGAACTATAATAATTGTATTAAATACAAAAAACTTTAAACTTGATTTTTTTGAAATTAAAATAATGTCACTTATAACCCTTGTGTTCTAAGCGCCTCAATTTATCTCGGATAACTTATTTCTCAGTAAGAGAAATGATAAAAATAATACTCCAATTCAGATCATAATTAATCTAGATAAAACACAGTATTACCACTTTTTTTTACCGAGTTTTCACGCATTCAAAAAAAAAAAAAGAAGCTCTTTCAATTACAATAGCCAAAAGCAGATTTGCAAGAATAAATAAAAAACACGACTTATATAAATAAAAATATATAATAGTTGATGTAGCATTGAAATTGTGTAAAAAAGAAAATAATAATAATAAAGACGTGAAATATTATTATGCAATACGATTCAATAGCGTTATGATGATGTTGAAAAATATATATTGTTTGAAATGTCAATGGCAAAAAGAAAAGCGTTCGAAAAAACATACAACCTTCTTTTTTAAAGAATAATATTATACATTCTCTTATTTTTCAGACTGTACTTAGCCACAACGTTGGTGATGTTTTAGTTATTTCTTTATGCCGATGAAAATTACAAAATATATAATAATAATATACTGTAATGGTGTTTTAAACGCGAAAAATTCATAATATCATATTCAACAGTCAATAGTCTTACATTAAAATAATATTATTACGTCGAAAACGAAATAAAAGTAATAATACAATTAATTCCGATAACGTTCAGGTTTTATGTTGTCATTTTCGTTTTCTTCAGACGCCGCCATTCGATATGTTTATCTCCCAAAAACATTATTGACGATTTATTTGAACATTTTCGTATGTTATCTGTTACTTATCCTAAAAACTTTTTGTTATAATTTCGAATTTATGTTCAGATTTATTTACATGAAAGAAAAATAATGTAGCCAAAATTTAACACTTATATTAGTAGATTAAGTACTGTTTTAGGTTTGCGAAATTAGGGAGGTATATGATGAAGGTCAGTAATATAGTTAGTATTCTAAAACAACGATAAATCATTGTAAAAAAAAAATCGATGCTATCAATTGTAATAAATAAGCGTTGTTTTTCCCTTAAACCCTACAGAAATTGATAAAATTAAAGTAGATATAATATCATCATTATTTGTTGTCTATTTTTTTTTTGAACTTTTAGAAAAAATGTCAGAAATCTAGAAATTTATTTAAAATAAAATGTCGTCACGTAAGGGGGGAAATTCGCATCTTTTATTATGGTTCTATGAGAACAATATTTGAATCAATATTACTAATAGATATACTAACTGAAAAATAATATTCTGCGAGTAAAAAAAATAAACACATTTTAATTACACAATAATCATTTTTCATGATTGGGCTCGGAATCTAAAAATTGTATACAGGTTAAAGCCACATTAAATATAAAGTATATAAAATAAAAATGTAGGTACTTTATTTTGATATTTATTGTTAAAATTTTTTTCTCGGATTTTGATTCTAGATACACTACGCACTACGATTAATTAGATAATTATATGATATAATAATGTTATATCCAAGGGAATTTTGAGAATTTGGTTATAAAATTTAATTTCAATTCAAAACATTAATTTATTATTATTATGAATACACATTGTGTATTATAGTACAAAATATCTTCTTAATTACATTTTTGGACCCCGACCGTGTTTTTGAATGAATTTCTTTGAAATCTAAGTGTATTTTACAAACTATTCCCGGTTTTAATAAAAAGGGGTAAATAAATTCTTGTAAAAACAGCGTAGTTTTAAAAAATATCATCGTATTTTTATTTGTATTTATATTTTATAATGATAGTTGTATACATATTACATATAATATACAAGTATACAACGTAACAACACTTAGGTTCTGCAGTTTATTTTTGAAATATTCGTTTTCAAATACCAGCACATTTGTGTAGTATGTATTATTGTATTCGTATATAATATTAGATTTAGGTAAACAGTTATATACAAATGTATATTTATATAATTTGCGTGAGAATTTTGAGCAATACGAAGGTAATTAAAAAAATATATAGGATAAGCTGTAGGATAATGGGGGCGGGTAATGTTAAACCAGTGCTTACGAAAAAACGACTCTAAGCGGAGTACAGTTAATAGTGATACTTTGTCAACAATATATATGTCATATTATAGTACAATAATTAAGTAGGCTTTATATATTTTCTTTAATAATATTTGTTTAATGTTGTACCGATTTTCACAGTTTTCCCACTATTTCACATTTGCTGAGAAAACTCTGGAGAAAATGGAAAAACGATCTCTTTAAGATACCTTCCCACACCAATTTCCTTCCAGAAAAGTTTATATACGTACAAATCAGAGCAAGTCCTCTGGTAGAAAAGTTGTCCACAGAAAAAAAAATAAACATCTTTGTAAAACCATAGGCTTCTTTGCTCACAAAATCTAAAAATAGAGATGGGATATTTTGAAATATTATTATAGTAGGGTTGGTTTTGTTTATAAATATTCTATCAAGGGTTATTTAAACATCTGCCCCTATTTCGTAACCAATATAAAATTAATATACAGTAGTTAAATTCTTCTTTTCAATACTAAAGTCATTGATATTCTAAATAATTTATAGACAGAATCCCCTACCCCCGGTTATAAATAGTCTATACCTTATTTTAATACATCGTATACATATGTATAAGTAGTCATATCGTATAATTATATCACATTTTTATAAATAGTATATATAATATACATACAATAATGAAAATGATTTGATACGTGATTATACAATTTAGTTTGTATATTATATTCAGTCATAAAACTTTGCACAGTGTAACGATTGACCTTTCTTAAGTTCATATTCGCATTCTTAATGTTATTATGAAGCCTTACCCTATAAGCAACTCATGAAACCCAATTTATTTATTTCAAATCAATTTTGAGTTTATTACCTATAGAAGAATGGTTTTTACGAAATGAATCATCATAATCCATGATCGATATTGATAATAAGATTGTTGGCCCGATTCTTAAAAATCAAAAAAGTTAGATGGATAAATTTTTGGTTGTTGTTCCTTTAATTTTTCAACTTTTGACTCGTCAAAACGCTTTCTATTTAGAGTCGATATTGTTCTGTGAATCGAAAATAATAAGGGTGCACTACATACAAATATTAATTTTTAACTAATTTTTTATTAATATTAATTTAATAATTTTAATATATTTTCGTATATTTAATTTAAAAATATGCATACATATTTTGGTCCATTCGTGATTATAAAATTAATAAAAATCAGAGCTATGTGACGAGTATTCGAAAGTGTGTTACATGATTCGTTGTTTTTCATATTCACCAATTGAGGTCGAACCGAAAGGCTGAATTGTTAGCGTTTTAGAAACTGAACAGTATAAAGTCGGAGAATTTATGTTATGTCGACTTGTTGGAATTTGTGTATGGTAAATTCCACGCGTTAATACAATAATAATATTATTAATTATTATTATTAGGTATCGTTTCGATCGAATACCATTTGATCATATATTGATCGTTTAATATATAAACAATCACGAAATACAAGTTTGTAATTACACACGTCACCCGCGATTACTAACGAGAACGTGCAAACAGGGGCGTATACAAGGAGGGGAATGTAAAATGTAAAAAATAGTGTTCTTTATAAGGGCGTTACATTGAAATGTAAAAAAAAAATGGCAATGATTAAAATGAATTTACTAATGACTAATGACTGATTAATCATATTATATTAATTTAATATATAGGTATACATAAAATATAATTATAACAAGAGTCAAGAATACAATTTTACCGACCGGCCGTGGTCATAATACAAAATTAAAACTTTTGTATTATTATTATTTGTAGAATTTTGAAATAAAATGCAGTATAAATAAATGTTTTATTATTTATTATTTTAACGTGCAGGTACCTAGGTTTAGAAATTTTCCTTTCATAATAATTTATTTGAAACTGATCTCCCCTCCCCTCAGTATACAAAAATTATGTGTACACCACTGCGTGCAAATTATCAAGAGTTCGTAATACTTAAAGAAAACACGAAAAAAAATCCACCATTAGTTTAAACTATCTATATAGGAAAAGTATTAGGCCAAATATAGGTATATAGGCCAAATTTGCAGGTTACTTTTTTAGTTAATATATACTACGTGCTCCCTCCGTTAAAAAACCTCCATGAATAGATAAACTAAACATTTCCAGTTACTCTTCATCCTACCAGTGAGAGTATTTAAAATATAATATTTTGTTACTAATTAATCTATTAATCTACTAATTTAATCAGTTTATTTTATAATGGATTTACAGTAAGCAAAATTGTACTCTACTGCAAGATGTTTAATGGGCTTTATCTAGTGTCCACTTGTTTAAGAGAGCCTCACAAGTCTCTTTGCGCTCAAATCCGAACCTTCTAAAGACGATGTTCGGCCGAACTATCCTCGGCAGTTAAAAAGACCCCTGAGGCATCTCTTATAGAGTAGTCTCCAAGTGATTTAATAGACAGTCGCCCGGAATCACTAAAAGGAGAGGTGAAAACGAAATAGCAGATTTGTTTTTCCCGGTCAGATCAGTAGTGCACTGGCCAGACGTTCTTCTCGAAATACGCGAACCACTTACCATCCTTCTCAAAACTAAAGCAGCAAAACCTAACGAACGAGGGTATTCCGTTCTCACCGTCGACGAGTTCAGGTTAGCAGTTGCTTTAATGCTTAAAAACAAGGCTACCGCACCCGACAGTGTCCCAAATGAGGTCTTCTCGGTGATTTTTATGAGATCGCCTGAAGTCCTCCTGAAGATCTACAACTGAGTGAGTCCGTCTTTCCGAATAGGTGGAAACGAGCCAGGTTTATACTCTTCTACAAGGTCCTGGACAAGCTTATAGACAACCCGTTTAGTTTCCCATATTTTCCTGAGGTTGATTTATATCACTTACGGTTTTAGCCTTCTCCCAAAGGCAAGGCATTGATTGTACATTCGATAAACTAATTCATAACTTATATTTTAATAAACAATGGCAGCAGTGAGTGAAGTATTGTGTTAAACACATTCCTTACTGCTATCGGTTATACTTAAAAAAAGTGTCCATTTGTACACACACACACAACTTCCTTAAAAGAAGATCCCACGCTTCTCTGACGCAACTACCATATCATAGGCCAAAACCGTCAAAACAAGTAATATCTACAGCCAGTTTTACGCTGGAATTTTTCAAGGCACGTTATTTTAACATAAATATTACACAAATATTCGGCTGAAAATTGTTGACGCTTTCGATTGTTATTTTATTTTCTCTCGGTTATCCGAAACAGAACGGTAAATTCAATACCTATGGAGGAAAAATAAAATCATGACGATTATTATTTCGCCTTCATAAATACCATATATCCTGCTGGAGTGACAAATCGTTTAACTCAAAGGTTACTTGCATTATAATTTTCCGATTCGAGGTAGTCCCGCCTGAAAACGCACGATACTTTGAATGAAAAAAAAAAACCTTTTAAAAATTTCAACGACGACGTGAGTTGTGCCAAACCGTTTTGAAATCGTCGAAGAAGAAAACATATTAGATACAGGTATAATAATATATAAAATCATACAATATGCACAAAGTGATACTTGAAAAAACAAGAAATATTATTATTATGTTTAAAACGATGGCAGACATGTTATCTTTTCTATACATATATATTACAAGACAACTTTTTAATCGGTTTACGAAAGTTTTACAACGGGATTTCGGAACATTTTGTTATTTTTTGCGGCTATTAAAGCATAAAATGAAAATGTGTTTTAGAATAATTTAGAGTGGGTTTTGTACACCGATAAATATTATAACTTTTCTCCGGTAAACTTTGTAGATAGGTACGTATCTACCTACCTATAAAAAGCGTAAACGAACAATTTTTCGGTATAATAATCAAAACGACGGTGGCACCGAACTGGAAATAGAGTGATATGTATTTGGAGTGAGTGGTAGGGTACAACACCTGTCCAAACTTAAAAATCCTGAGTTAGCAATTTAACGATTATATTGAATTTTAAATTAGGCCAAATGATAAATTTCTTAAGTTTATTTTGTTCTAGTATTTCATTACGTAATTACCGTTTTATTATTATCGTCGAATTTATCATTTACTAAAGGACATAAAACGGCAAAAAAATTGAATTCGGTAAATTCGGTATATTTAATGTCAGCCGTATCAGGAGTATTATGGAGTTAAAAACATCTCTCTATTTTATAGATTGTATGAACACCAACGCAGGGCTTCACGGCGTGATATGAGTTTTTCAAATATTATCGACGAGAATACAAAGAATATTTTATCTTTTTACGATTTATTTGTACGAGTCGTAAGTTTACCTATGGATTTTTTCTTGAAAATTTATTAAAAAACTTGATTATCTTGATTTATATGTGAGTATTGTTGTACAGGTAGGTACGTTACTTTTATCAAAGTTATGATTTACGGACCATAATGGTTTTTTCTCAAATTCAACGTACAATAAACAAAAAAATAAAATAAAATAAAATTCTTTTAAACCACATCACGAGAAAAACAAACGGCAGTACCGAAATATATATATAGACTGTTTTTATATTCATTACATGAAATATTATGTTTAGCGCCGCCGCCACCGTACAAAATATTATGATTTACCGTAGGGGTAGCATTGTGGACCTATATTATGTCTCTCTATTGTGTAAACCGTAATCGCGGTAGGTATTAAGTACCTACGCTAAAAGTTTACCTGTAGTTTTAATCCGAATTGGGCATCGCGAATAGTGTGTTAAGTATGAAATATTTCGGAGGGTGACCGGTAACCACACGTATTATTATTATCATGCAGTAAAAGCCATAGAACGACCGAAATTAGCGACCACGATTTTACCAAGTTTCTTATCACCGTTATTGTGTTTCATCCGAATATAAATGAAAAATAAGTTATCTGAACCGTTATTCGAGAGAGTGCCTATAAATATTAAATAAGTCAAGTTTGAGGCTTTATCAATTACACGGCCTTTTTGAAATCTATGAGTATACTATCATACTATTCTGGTAGACATTTAACATTTACAGTGATTTCCATCTGACACTGCTCTCTCGTATAAACTTTACACATACTATTATAACTAGCCCTTACCGGTGCTATGGATAGCAGAAAATGCCAGTATAATGTAATATTCTACGTATAAATAAAAAAAAAAACCTCAATGTCGATTTTAATGACCGACTGTGTACTGAATATAGTATATTATGTTATTATAATTATTTTTTTGATACGAACAGTACTTTAATTTGATGAATTGTTATCAAATTAACGACAAAACATCATCACAAATATATCTTTGATCATAAACATGCACATTTCTTCTTGGCAGAGTAGGAATCTATCATAAAAGTCAATAAACTTTACACAAATTTATATATAAAGATATAAGCCTCATAATATTGATTTTATTTATATTTATTTAATGAGGACTTAATTTGGAGGTGAGATCTTGGCTGAGTTTTCAGGGGGATAAATCACTCAAGATTCACCTTTTTACGTTAATCCACATTATTAAAGAGGTGTTAGAGTTAAATATTTTACAAAATTCATAACTGACGTATTTAAAAAAAAATATATATATTTTGGTGAAAAATCTTGTAAGGAAGATAGCTGCCTCTCTTATCTCCCCCGTGCACGCACTCATGCTCATAATACGACAATATTATTTATGTTCCACTTCTTATTAGCATTATTTACCGGGTGAAATTTCACCTCCTTCGGTAAATTATCTCTAGAGAAATTTTACTTTTCGGTAAAATTTCATGGGAGTAAATAATCCCGATTACACCGGTACTAATTAAAATCGTGACGAACGAACGACGAAATGACCTAAACAATCGTTATTATAATATGCATATTTATTAATTGCCGATAAAAACATAATATAATATCCTTGCGATTTTTTTCCGTCCGTTTAGATTATAATTATATTATTATTACAAATTATAATATACAGCTAAAGGGAAATTTCGGGTTTAGAAAAGCTCACCTCTTTCCCGTTTCATGCTGTACTCTGTGGTAGTTGACATAACTATATAATATAATATTTTATAATATGAAAGGTCTTAGGAGGGGTACATAATCTTCTCAAAGACATTTCGCTTGATAATATTATTAAAGTATTAGTTTGTATACATTTTACTATCAAAAATGATAATATTATTATTATTTTAAGCATAGACGAACTAATTAGTGGAGAATTATCATTATTATTAATAAAAACCGAAACTGTCAGAATATACGTAATATATTTTTTAAACTTATAATTTATGAAAATGGCATGTGTTTAAAAAAAAAAAAAAAATTAAACAATAACATACTTTGCATTATTGTTTTATCGTAACCTTTTATGATAGCTATAATATGATAGCGTTCCCGTGACACGACACGCGACGGTCGTATTTAACGAAACGCTTTTTTGACAATTTATCATAATATTGTTGATACAGCCCGTCAGCTCCGAATTTCCTGATAAAAGTTATCGTTAATATAATTTTTGTTTCATCGGTTTCAATTAACGTTTCATTTTGCACGTCTTTGTCTCTGCGCATTTTTTGTTTATCTAACAACGATCGTCGATTGGACAGATAAATTATGTTTTTTCGTTAACCCCTTTTTCTACCAAAACATCCGTTAATAGCCGGTCGAAAAAATCTTTTTTATTTTAGATTGTACCTAATCTATGTTCGCTGTTTCACTTAAAGAAATAATCACCAATTTCGGCTTTGAACGAGAATTATAATATCGTAAGACGTTTATATGTAAGTATGGGTATTATAATATGTGGCATTATACGAATACAGGAGCGATCGATATTTTCACGTGCGTTTGTTAAAGTTTTCAATTTATATCGTACCATATAAACAGAAACGAAAGTTTCAGAAACTTGTTGCCTATCAGTTGCTCGGATATCCGAACGACTCGAGTATAAAAAATTTGGCTATCGTTTTTTTCTCGTTATCTTTATTTATTTCTACGTCCCATTAATTCCGTATATATTTTTCAGCATTTTTCGACGATAAAATATTGTATACAAAATGCATTAAAGGATTACGAAATAGTTACAGTTTGCTTGTCAAATGAGAGTTTTACTTTTGTCTACATATTGTATTTGTAACGTTTATTTTCATGGTCTATATAACCCAAACACCCTGGCAAGTTATCATAAAACAGTGGCGCACCTGTGGGGGGATCGATTCATCGCCCCCGTGGGTCGTATAATTATATGTGACTATATGTGTGCATTGTTATATATTTTTTAGTGTTTTTACAATTATTTTGAATTCTTTTTAATAAAGTCATTAATAATATGATAATTGATAACATGATGAAGCTCAAGATTTTAAATAATTTTTATTATTTATGGTTGAACCGGGTCAAAATATATAGTGTTATCATAGTTCGACGTTGTTTGACCATAGATAATAAAAACATATGATAATATATAATCTAATATAATAATTATTATATATCTACATAATTGGAAATGGTTTATAAATTTTGGTGGTACCTATCTACTGCTGTAGACTAAAAACATGGTTAGGTTAGATTAGGTTAGGTTATGACTACGTTCAAAAATGGGCCAGCATCGTTTATGTGGGCTTGCACTTTTACCAATGCCAAGAAATAAGTATACCAGTGGATGAAATTATTGAACGAATTTCTTGTATGAAAAATCGGAGGTTAAACTTTGTGTTACATTACAATTTATTATGAAATTATTTTATAACATGCATTACATTATATTATACAACAATTTCTATTTTATGTACTTACTAAAGTGTTCTATCTAATATTTTACAAATATAAAAATCCCGTTAGGTTATGTTAGACTGTGACATGAATTTTTAAGACATTTTCTATTTTAAGGATGGGTGCAAATATATTCCCCCTCCCGTAAGAGAGGCTTAGGTACTGTCATAAAATATACGTTTTACACGATGGGCCATTATTACCAAAATATTATAATCATTATCATCATAATATAATCTAAATGATATAAACAAAATCATATTCGTATAATAATGTCAAACGTAGATTTTTCACAAATAAAAGTACACCGCAGTAATATCTATAATCGAGAGAATATATTATATTATGCTTAATGAATCGGAAACGTGATTGCAAGAGGTATATTAGATATTATAGGTACTAGGTACCTATATGCGGTTTGCTCAACTGAATATTACAGCAATTTATCAAATGCACATAAATGCGTATCTATACATGGGATAATAATATAATGTTATATTACGGTACCAATAAATACTGTCAATTTTCACATTTACGCCCCCGGTGAGCACTCTTTTCGTTTCTAGAATTTATTCACAAAACAACAAGAAAAATTGTATGTTAAGCGATCAAACTTCTTAAAATAAAAATAATTAATACATATTAATTTCAAAATATTTAATAATTAACTATGTAAAAAATGTTGAACAAATAACGTTGCATAGTGTGAATACGATTTAAGATAATATTTAAGATTTAAGATAGTTCCCTATCGACTTTTGGACTATAATATCTATTTTCTATATATATCGGACTGAATTCGAAAAAATTGACTAGTTGGCGCTACGTGCGTATACATAATTTACGATTTTTATTTTTTACTATGTCATATTTTATGATATAACATTTTCTCAAAATTCTATAAAAATGTCTAGTTTCGCATGTCTGGCCATGGCCGGATCTGTATCAGACCCGTAAACATGGTTATGAGTTATTTTTATTTACAACTATAGAAACTAATTGAAAAACAAGCAGTGGATAGACAATAGAAAACTGCATAAGCACCTATTTATTGCGGACTTAACTAACAAATGAAAACAATGATAATGGATCAAATAGCATAATTATTCGCATACATTGATAACTAAGAAGAATACATTTAAATCGGTTTCGGTAACTTTGGACCAGAAAAGAGCGGCCGAAAAATACTAAACCGCTAAAACTAAAATTAAAACTAAAACGAATTCGAATCGGTTTAATATAACTGCCTGAAAACCGAAACCGGTTTACTTTATGATAAGAGATTGTGATCGGTTCACGTGGGCCGTCGAATTTCTTGTTCGTTTGTGGCTTCAATTATATTCATAATATGTATTCTAACATAACGGTTTCCCATCATGTCCAGTTGCAAATTAATTTTCCCAAATCTGTTGCCATAATAATATTATGTATTCACCGTTTGTACGTAATATATTTAAATAACTTCGATGGAATGTATTATAGGTGAACAAACAAAAAAAATCACCAACTACTAGGTACACTGCTGTTTCCGGCGAAATAAATCTCGAATTGCAAAAAAAATCCGTCTAACCCCCGGTCTGATTGATGGCCGCCCTATCGATTCGTTTTACGCACCTGTCTCTGACGACCGGAGGTCGGTCACATTTCCGGGACACGCGTGGAAAATGCCTATTCGTATTTACAAAAGTCGCGGATGAACAACCGTTCAGGATCAAATAAATACATATAGGTACTCGCTATATATATACTCTTGTATGAAAATATAAAAAATACCGGGTGATTCCACATTGACCCGACACGTTTATTTTTTTAAATAAACTCTTTTTTTTTTCGTTTCACCGTTTTGGAGAACATACGGTGAAGTAGTGATTTATATATATATTACTATGCACGAGTAAAAAAAAAAAATGCATAATTTTTATACCCGAAGTGAATTCGTTGTTATTTTCAGTATTTTTTTCGCCTATTTCCAAATACGGCAAATCCAATGTATTTTTTTTTTCAATTCTAAGCGTAGTGAATAATTTATTGATTTACAATGATGTGTGCTTTTTTCGGTCAGTGTACAAATATTATACCAAGAATCTTGATTTTCGTTTTTACAAAAAAAATCTTTCTCTAAATCTGTCTATACAAATATTTTGAAAAGTTAATAAGTAACAAAGATATTTTTCGATTTTCCAAGTAGTTCTCTAAATAATCCGAAAATAAAAATTATTTTAAAAATCAAATTATTGAGTCACCAAGAATTTTTGAAGCATTTACGGATATTACAATTTTCAAGATAAAATTGACAAACTTTTTAACATATTCAATCGAAAATAATATTCAAAAACGAGCTATATTATTATCGTCAATTAGTGAAGAAATACATAAAGTGCTCTTTAGTTTATGTGTTCCTAGCATACCGGATGATGTTGAGTATGCTAGTCTTATAAAAAATTTGAACAAATATTTTAAACCTGTAAAGTCGTACTTTGCGACTAGACATATATTTTATCAGGCCAAAAGAAGACAAGATTAATCGATATGCCAAGGGGTGTACGTGTCAAAAAATTAACTTCAAAATGTGGGTTTTCGGCAAAACCAACAACGGTAATCTGAGACATATTGTTATCGGTATTGGTTCAGGATCAATAAAATATCGTCTCTTAGAAGAATACGCGTCAAAGTGTGGTGTTACGTATTCAAATTTAATGGAAATTGAATCAACTAAAGAAGCAGCAATAAATGACAAACGTGGCTGGAGAAAAAAAGATGGCGCAGATCTAAAGTACCAACGGTTACGGTCAATTCAATCAGAATTTCAATGTGTCCAAGAAATCAAAGGCAAAGTGTGGGGTTTGTGGCCGTTCCAATCACGTTCAAAAAGACTGCAGGTAAAAAGATTATGCAACAATTTCGGTGAAAAAGTTAATTTATCCACTGTATGTAAAAAAAGTAAAAAAGAAAAGAAAAACAATAAAACACAAAATAAATTGTTGTCAAAAAATGATGATGATGATGATGATACAGTTAACTTCGATCTTTCCAGAACTTTTTTTTTCTATAATTGATCAGAACTCTGAAAATAGAGCTGTGAAATTAGATTTAATTGTAGAAAATAATAATGTAAATTTCGAGATAGATACTGGTAGATGGGCCTATGTTTTGTTATCATTTGATTTCAAAAAAAAATATGTAAAATCTAATAACAACATAGATGATATTTTTTTTATCAAGAATACACATTTCTAAATTAACGATCGAAAATCAAAATTAAGAATGCATTAGTCTAAATTATTTTCATGAAAAATTCATAAACACTGGATTGGTCCAAAAAAAAAAAAATTGAAACATGTAGATACACAATTATTGCAAAAGTTTAAACGCAGTTAGAGCAGGAAAATGAAACTGTAATTTTGCAAATAATTAAGAACCAAAATCGTATAATTTACGAAAAACTCAAATTTCAGTAGAACAAAAATGTAAATTATGAGGTTATTAAATTTATATACTATCTAAATTCCATAATAATATATTAAAATAACTCCATTCTTGTCATATGAAGGCTTCTAGTATGAAAAGTATAGCCAGATTATATTTTTGGTGGCCAGGAATGAATAAGGAAATAGAAAATATTACGCATAATTGTGACAATTGCCTTAATGTTAGGCAAAATCTACCAAAATCTATAATATCTTCTTGGAAAAGGACAGAAAAACCGTGGATCCTGGTCCAGTGTGATTTTCTCGGATTATTTCAAAATAAATATTTTTTTATCATAGTTGACGCGACCACAAAATGTTTAGAAATAAATAGTAAATAATATGACAGCAGAAATTGTCATAAACAAATTTTCGCAAATAATAGCACGATTTGATATTACATCAGATGACGCAAAATGTTTTATAGGTTTGGAATTTCAATCGTATTATAAAAATGTAGGTATAAGACAAATAACAGACGCACTATTTCACCCGGAATCGAACTATGGTGCTGAATCAGCAGTCAAAATAATTAAAAACTTCTTTAAAAAATGTTCGACAGCACAATCGTAAGTAAATAATATTTTTTTTTATGCATCGTAAAACACCTCATTCAACAACACAAGAAACGCCAGCTCAGCTAACAGTCAATCAACTCGTTTACAATTTGATGCATTTTAACAGACAAATATCGCAAATAAACAATTGAGAAAATAGAATAATATCATTTAATGTAGGTGATAATGTTCTAGCTAGAGTTTAAAGGAATAATAATAATAAATGGCATAAGGGTAAAATCATCAAATGTATTGGTAACAATATGTATGACGTAGAATTTAATGATGAAATATTTGGTAAAGACTTAATGATCAATTACTGATCGACAAATCTTTAACACCTTTAAGCAATGATATTTCACTTATTCCCGCCAGGAAACCAATTGACAGTCCCAATCCTTTAATGATAGATAAAACTCCCAGACCAATTAGAGCTGGGAAACCACATCAGCGATGCTCTAAAAGTGATTATAAATAATGTAATTTTTTTTTGTCAATTATTTTTTTTAAATTATATTCAATAAAAATAATACTAACGTATATGTGATACTAAATATAGCAAATTAAGTACTATACTAAAACAATTATTTCTTTAAGGAATTAGATGTTGTATATTAAGTATTTACGGTACGACAAGCATTATACATTTATGTTATATTAATTAAAACTTATAAGTATTTACATAATAATATCATATCATATTACGATTGGCGGGGAGTGTCCATCATTTTTTGTCACGCAGACAATATTTATGTATAACTTCATTCAGACTTTTACCGTTGTCAATAAAGGATTAATTAATATGTTTGAGTTGTTATTCATATTAATAATACTTAAAGTATATAATTTACAATATCATAATAATTAATTATCTGTTATTACGACAAAATTCAAATTTAAAAAAAATTTAATATTCAAACAGATTTAACGGTGGGCGTTTCTCTTATATTATGTACAGTTTAATTTGAAGGATACGGGCAGGCTTATAATATCCATATTTTATATACTTGTATTGCCGGTAAAAAAAAAAACTGCATAAAAAATCGTATTATTATGTAATATTATATATTCGACAAAAGTGTTTATACGTATTTTGCTTTATAAATCGATTTGTAACGTAATAAAAAAAAAATGACGTTGGCGTTTCTCAAAGCCAAAACCGTTTGAGAAATGGACTGGAAAATTAAATAAATTCAATTTCCAGTTAGATTTTATTTTTCCGATATAAAAATCTGTTTTCAAACACGTCAGTTTGAAATAACGTATCTCATCAATTGTCTTTATACCATCAGAGAATTTTTTTAGTGAAATATAATAAAATAATAAAATAATGTACAGATATTTTATTATCACTACGTGTTAGGTGCCTATTATAGTTTTATTTCATAATATTTTTATCGCCGGAATACAATAAATCTGATATAAATGAATTGATATATTTTTATTTTTTTATTATTATTCAAGTGGAACAAAGCGTAATAACTATACTTATGCCAGAATAAAAAATATATAGATTATTCCGATGCTGTGGCAAGTTGGTAAACAATATTATTCCAGTGCAGTCTAGTCAAATTAAGCGGCCCGGTGTAAGATTTCTCAAATTCCTCTAATTATGTAAAATTTAAATATTTTTTTTTAACATTTTAATTCCTGCCTTAAGAGGCTATGACACCTGTATATGTTGTTTCCATATACAAACTTACGACATAGGAATCTTGCGTTCAACTGGGGCAATACAGTGCTGTTAGTTTTAATTTTTAAGTAAATCTGTAGTTTAAATAATTTACTAAATAATAAACTATCAAACTAAAGATATTAATATTATCTGTACAATTTTAGCATTATTTTGTCGATATTTGCATTATTATTAGAGAGAATATGACTATAAAATTGAATGCTTGAAACATTGAAAAAACAGTACCTACGTTGTGCTGCTAATGGTCTTATATTTAAGTTTGAAAATAGATCAATTCACCCTAATATTAAAATGAACAGCACAAAGTTGTCCTGTTGATTTAAATTTGATATATCGTACGTTTTTATGATGAAGACAGTGCATGAAGATATCACGTTCTCTTAAAAATTAGCCCTTTCCATTAATGTACTACCTGTTACCCATTTATAACAAAGGGAAGATATAGCAATTTTTATGGTTCTACATGGAAAATTAATAAATAACTATATATACTACAGAATGCATTTAGCTCTGATTTTTTATTGAATTTAAAATAATAGAATAAAAGATTTTGACAAAAAGTTAAAAATTGATCTTTTTTTATAGATGAATTATTAAGTTTGAGTTGAAAATATTGAAAAACATCCAATGCGGTCTAAAAAATTTTATTTTTATTTTTACAAAAAAACAATCAACGGAATTGGGCTGTTCTACGAGGCATGATAATAATTTCCAGAAGATAAATTTTTGACACAAAAAATGCACTGGCAACGAGCCTCTTACTTGAAAAATTTATTAAAATTAGTTCACACGTTAAAACTTAGATGTTTTATTAATTAACTAATTTAAGTTAAAAGGCAATTGATTAAATAATGACCTGTTAACTCTAACTAAATTGTAACATAAGTTAATTTATTTTGTTATAACTTGAATGGTGAAAATTTAGTAGTAATAACTGTACTAGTAGTAGTTGCACTTAGTGAATAATAAGAAAAAGTTAAGTTTAAGTAGTTTTTTTTTTTATAAACATTTTTGATGGAAATTGGAAATAGGAAATATTCCGGTCTTTCAAAACATGTATAACCGAATTCCGATCAAAATCGTTTTTCGTTAGCAATGATTAATTGCTGCATACAGATATATATTAAACTCCCCTCTACACCCAACTTTCTAATTTTATCCCCTACAACAGTAGCCCACCCATCTTGTGAAGTATGTTCGTATTTTTTATTATAATTTGGTCAAAATAATATAGAGCCCAGGAATTTTCACCAATTAGTTATAAAAGGCTTTTAAAGATGCAATTATATTTTTTAGCTATTAGGCATTTGATATTTTCGATTTTATTTTAATGTTTTTTAAAATATGGCACAATAGTATGTTGTAAACACCAGCTTAAAAAAATATTTAAAACGAACATATATCTTATATTTTGTGTGAGTTTTTATGTGAAACGCGAACGCATCTTAATATATACATTTTTAAAGCATTACGAATGCATAGGTACAATCATTTCAACAATATAAATGATAGCTAACTTTGAAAAAAAAAAAAGTTTCTAGACTTGTCCTTTTACCGATAATGATGTACGTTTATTATTTAGAAAATCTACATTACCTGTACATGTATACTACAATAATATATGCATGTACACAATATGACGATGACATAAACTTCGTTCAACTTCGAACAATATTCGCACAAAATTGTACAGCAAATAATGTTCACTATGATACTTCCATATATTTATATCGCATAGTTTAAAAGTTTCATGTATTTTAATAATATTATATTATTTACTATTCATTGCTGGGACAGTTCCAGACATCGTGTTCGTGTATAATATAGGGATAGTTTCGGAAACTCGTTTAAAGTTCGGAAATATAATGATAACATATTATAATATCACGGGTAACAGGTAAAATGAGATATTGATGTCATTTTAAAACCTTTCAGTTCGTAGTTAGTAGTCAAATATTACTACATTATTATTTAAACTCTAAACACCGTCCATTTGCCAGATATGTGGGATGAAAATCTGACTGAAATGTCATCATCGTAAACGCGTATCAGAAAATAGAAATACATCTGTTGTGGTATATATAGTGATATATAACAATATAGTGATTTTTAAATCGTCAACGTCAAAACAATCTACGCACTATTATGTAAAATTAATTAATATTATTACAGTTTTACGCGTATCCCAATAAAATATCAAGAAATCGAAAATTATTCGGTTTTTGACGATTGATAAAGCTGGATGTTAAGTTAAGTTAATTCAGAAAAAATGCACAAGGTAACGTACGTTTAAAGTTAACTTTGTAAATTCAATTGACTTAACCATTTAAATTATAAGTTTATTTGTTTGTAAATCTTATTATTGTCATCATAGACTTACCAGTGGAAACGATTAAACTTAGAGTTATTTTTTTTTTTAAATAAGGATTATTAATACGTTAAATCACAGTCAGAATTGGACACGCAGAAAAATGTCGGGAAGCGATTAAAGAAATATGAATAAATACTTTCCATCTACTGTCCAGAGTTGGGAAATGTCAAGAATTTATACTACTAGATAATAAACTTATTTTAATATAATAATTAAATAATAATAAAATGATAACAATATAGATAACGATGAAAACTCAAGATCAAATATACAGTCCATAAGTGAACTGTTTAAGAAATTAAGTAACCTTAGACTCTACTCTACAACTGCTTTTTACTTTTCTTAATATTTGTTTAGCAACAAAAACACTATGCACTTTACTAGCTATTGAATCAATATTTACTAAACATATATGTTCAAAAATCTAATAGATCTAATAAAAACTAAATTTAGATCTACGATAGTGACAAAAGATTGAAACATATATGTTATCATCTTGTGAAGATGGATTTGGATAGAGCCATAAATTATATCAGAAGAAGATCATAAAATTACAATATATAAATTATACCATCCCCGAAAAAAATGTATTTTATACGTTATAATTGCTGTTGTCACGTTTAATCTTCATTCTTAATTTATGTTGTTTTTTTCACTTCTTTGTTAAGGTCCTGTAGTCCTAGTATCCTAAAGTTTAGAGACATTCCCATGAAAAGTATATGCAAATTTGGTGGTAAAACCAATGTTAGGAGATTAGGTAGGTATTGATTTTTGTAAACAAGTGTAGCGTTAATGTTAATAATGCTCGAATATTGGAGATTGCTTAAATCTATAGTAAAATTATAGTGGGTTGGTAGGTAGGTACTAGTTCAGTTTGCTCTTTGGGTACAAAATCCTCAGGCCGTAACTGGTCAAAAACGTAATTAAAAAGATGTCTTAGGATAATGGGGACAGGTGCAGCCATTGTTACATTGTTATAGGTAATTTAATTTATAACGTATGTGTAAGGCATCTGTAGACAACGATAAACCATTGGTTACGAAAAAACGATTCTAAGCAAAGTTCAATTGATAGTGTTGTTTTATCAATAATTTTGTTTTTTCAATGTAAAATTTTCTTTTAGAAAAAGTGCTATTATTTAAGTCAGAAAAGTTGCTACACATAAAAATCGAAGCAAGTCCTCTGGTAGAAAAGTTGTCCACAGGAAAAAAAAATAAACAGCTTCGTAAAACCATAAGCTTCTTCACACCACTCAGAATCTAAAATTAACTCCTTAGCGATTAAATTAATGGAGTACAAAAAATAGGTTGTTTTGATAAAAAAATCGAGTTATATAATAATTGAAATCAATTCTGCTTTTAACTTTTTAATCCATTAGTCCAGCCATGGCAATTGCGATTGTTGGAATAGATTCGCATGTTAATACGTAAACACGAATAAAAATATTCTAAAAAAAGAACATACCCATGATATGCACATATATGGAAAAAAAAATACCCGTCAGAGTGTTAATAAAGTTGTCACTCTCTCCGATAAGCGATTATAATATAGCAAGTTTATTGTTTTTTATTATTATATTGTATTATTTAACATGTTTATGTCACTGTATACATATTTTTTTATCATCGCGTTATTGTATTATATTATACTGTTATAATGCGCGTGTTTAATATTATAGAATACTCGATTTTTTCACTCGAAAAAAAACGTATTACTTAAACAAATTTGAAAAAAAAAAAATCTATTCCTTATATATTTTTTTTTTATTATTATTATTACTATATTTTATTGCTTTTAACTCGAAACAGAATATTTAACGGCTGACGGTTATTTTTTTCTAAACATATTATTTGTAAAAATAAAATAACAAAAGCTGATAACGGATAATAGGTAGTAAAAGCAAATTCCGTGGAAAATTGCCGTTTTATTTTTTCCGAGAAAAATATATAGCAGATGCTCTTAAAATTATATTATATATTTATGTACAATATTATCGTCTTTGATATTTTATGCGAATTCTACTCATATATTTTTATATTATAAAGTTCTGTCGCTGTAAAAGCAACACGAAAAATACACGTTCGATATTCGGATATCCACCTATATACACCATTTAAATAATAATATTGTTATTACAATGTATTGTATGTACAATGCGATTTTTGTATCATGATTCACCGATTATAAACTATGCCGACGAAGATTTCTAGTAAAATCGTTTTTGGTTATTTTGTTTATGCTCTATATTTTATTATTTTATTTTTATATTACATACGGACCTAAGTCTAATTACAATTTAATATTAAAATATACAATATACATATTTACACATATAAATAACAATAATCTTAATATAATAGATATTATTTTAAGTTACATAGATTACTTTTAAATTCATATAAATTAATTACAAAATTATCAATATTATATTTATTTGCTAATGTTAATATGAGATTGATTGGTGAATCAGATTTTATAAAAGTAATAGCAGCTTTTGGTTAGAAAAAATCTATATTACGCAGAATGCGTTTATTAATATTAAAATTAATCATTGCAAATAATTCCGAACTATTTATGTTTAATATATTAACTAATTATTAATTAATTTATATACAAGAATATCAAATCTAATTTTATACTTCTTGTCTCTAAAGTGATTATGTTTAAACAACTGAGTAAAATCGAATAAGATGAATGAGGAGCTCTGTAACTATTACAATTAAAAGATGTAAAGCGTACAAATCTATTTTGTATGGATTCTATATCTTGAATTAAATATAACTGATGGGGTGACCAAAGAGATGAGTTTTAATCAAGACATGATCGAACTTGGCAACAATAAAATGTTTTTAAGGTTATAATGTTATTAAAATTATAACAATGCTGTCTAATAAAACCTAACTGTCTTGCATCCTAATTGATAATTCTAGAGATGTGGTGGTTAAAAGTTAAATCAGATGAAAATGTAACTCCCAATTCCCTATTATATTTAACAATTGGAAACTCAACATCATTTGATATCGAATAGGAATACCTTATAAATTCCTTTATCAAATAAAAAGAGATAACACTACATTTAGATAAGTTTAAACTAATTATTTTCGAGACACCATTTCTCAACTGCATTAATATAAATATGCGTCATTTACTGATTTTATAGATCCCAATAATTTGCCATCATCAGAAAAAGAAAATAACTTAGCAAAATGCAGATTGAAGGGTAAATCATTTATGAAAACATTAAATAATAGTGGAGAAGAGTGAAACCTTGAGGAACCCTAGAAGAAACTTGAATAGGGTATGATAGAAAATGTTTGTATTTGATAAATGATAATAGAATAATAATAATTTTTGAACGACCATATTTATAACATTATAATCGAAAATTGTACTCTTATTATTCCTGTACGCCTGCACCATACACACGCGTCACACATTCCTATTTTCAAGTAACGCAACCTCCAGACAATTACGGCGCATTTGAGTTGTGTCTTGTCATCAAAAATCTACACTAGCTGGACCCCGGGTTTATTCAAGTAGTTAACTAGTTGGGTCAAAATCCAAAGTATATGAAATTAATATTGGATAATATACCATTTTAAACGAGTTAATGGTTGCGCGAACTATATTTACTTTGATTAGCCTATTTCATTTTCCACCCACCCACCTACTAAAACTATTCCCTACACTACCACACTTTTTGTATAAACTATAAACGATAAGTATCCAACTAGTTTCCACGAGGACTTTACTGATACGTTTCAAACTGCTCACACAGTTTAAAACACGCACCTTTAATAGCTTTTTAAAATATATACATAAACACTAGTGTAACCAGAAAACTTACTTAAACCACACGACCACTGGCATGAGTTAATCTGCGTCGTATTAAAAATGGAGAAAACTGAGTTTCTGTTTTTAAACCAAATGTTAATACTCCCGTTTAGGGTATAAGCTGAAAATATAAGATAAAAATGAGCTCAAACAATTCCACGTAGGTATAGAAAAGTGTATAATGATTGAATAGCATATATTGCAGACATCGCGAATTGCATTCGCTACATCAAAATCTTTCGAGAAAATTGCCGGATGACGATGAGGAAATATCCCACCCTGTATATAAACTAACTGCTGTTTGCGTTTACGGCACGTTTTTATTTCGCATAACCGATTTTAATTAAACGTTTACGGGCCCCCGGCCGCCTGCCAAAAGGTCGGACACGACCGCTTCATAGTGATGCAAAAACACCGGAGGGTGACCGCGTTTTAATTATGCCCGCAGTCCTTGTGTATGTCCGTCTCGCTCGTTCCGTATATAATATTATCCATCATCATAATAATGATAATAATAACAGTATGTGCTTTTTCTATGTACGCGTATTCCTATTACACATTATAAAGTGTATACGTAAAAACTCGTATAATAAAATATAATATTAGCCATAGAAGGCCGCCGACTGATTTTTCGCAGGACACAAAGTACGTATAATACATTAATAATATTACATAATATAATATTCATTGGGTGATGATGACGAGGATCAGAGCAAAAAGATTTATATATAATTCGCGGAAATATCGTGTATAACAACCATTATAAAGGTTGTATCAATATCATTTCGGTCCGCATTCTTTTATAATAATAAATGGTATACAAAAGGGAGAGATTATAGGTTATATCGCACACCGCCCAATTAGTTTGAAAACACAACAAATATGAGTATTTACTTAGTAATTTTGTCTCGAAATTAATTTTGAAATATTTCAGCCGAGTTACAAGGAAACAATTTATTAAATACAAATTAGCTTTTTTTTGAATCTTGCTTTTAAATTTTCGTTGTCTAGTTATACATATATATATATATATATATATATATAAGTACTATAATAAAAAAAGATTCTACAATTCAATTCTTGAATCATGATTAATGTCTATCCATTGAAAATTCTTGTGCACTCTATTGCTTAATATACTATTCTAGGGACGTACTATAATTTTATAAGAATGGCATATTATTTATTAGTGACCGTGGTATTCACGAAGACGAGATTCCATAATAATCCAATATTAGTATAATATCCTATAACTCGTATTTTAATAATCTGTTCAGTATATTATTGATTATATTAGATTCAGAGCGTAGTTATACACTTGTAGCTTGTAGTATTTGTATTATTCCATAAGAACATATAAAGAACTATGTATTCAATTTTTGAATATTTTTGAAAGGCTAAACCAATCATATCAGCAATTAAAATTTGAAAATGTTCAATAAACTATAGCTATAAAAAACATCAAAATGTTTTGAAAATTGTACCCTAGACCCATTCCAGAAATGGCTAATAAGTATAAAGTTAGCCTTTGGTGAAAATGTTTGGTTTTGGTATTTACAATTATTATAATAAACTAAGTCGTAAAAAAAAAAAAAACAAAACAAAATCGAAAAAAAAGAAAACGTTTTCACATAAATATTTCGGTTTTTCTAACGTCTTTTTATATTATTAAAAAGGGAAATTCACGTCGAAAAATTGTAAACAAATGTGGTATTTTTTATTTGTAACGATTTATTTCTTTTCTACAACTGCATTGCTGTAATAATAATCTGCGCACGAGCAGTTATTTTAAAAAACAATTTGTATTATTATTATTCAGATTCACGATAATATTTGCACTGTGCATTAATAACAAACGTGTTTTGTGTAAGGAACAAACTTGTTTTGTGATATTGTTTACTATAATAATTGATAGATAACCGAACTCGGTATTTCGGCTAATTCGATAACCAGATTGCCGAAACTCGCGAACAATAAAAAGAAAAAACTACGTTTATTTTCTTGTGTCACTGATCATATCCATGGTTAAAATACTGTGTAGTAAATAACATGTTTTGGTGATGATGTTGCAACCAAGTAGCAAACATTGCAACAAACTGTTTACCGAAAACCGCTTTGCCAAAACCCGCCCATTACAAATATTCCCGACGTCATCGTCGTAGCAATAATACGCATCACCTAATAATCCTATACCGGCAAAACACTAAATAGCACCGCACTAAATCATTTGCCACTCGCCCGCAGTAAGTTCTGCGGTGTTTAGCACACTGCAAACTTTCTACCGAGAGATAACGGCGGCTGTGGTGGCGGCGGATCACATAAATTTAATACGTAGTTGCGGTTTCAACGACCTCTGTGAAGTAGGCGAGTCCGATGTATAAATAAGTATACCGCAGTTTAATTTTGTTTTTTTTTCTCTCTTCCGAAAGCGTCGCATCAAAAGAGGCGAACAATTTGTCTCGTCGTTGTTATACAGGGGAGAAAACTGCAACGCAAAAACAAAAATTCGGCGCGTTTTATAATTGCAGTTCATCTGCAAACTTGCAGCGGCGCGTTCTAATATCCCAATTTAAAGTTTCGCTAAATACTTGTTGTTTTCATGTCGCACTACCGAACGCCGACTGCCACTGCGCCAAATCGATTTACTGGGGGGTTTGGGGTAATATAGGGACCCGCTATATACGACAGGACAAACTTTGTGTATAATAGTATAACTACTGAAAGTTTTACTTTAATTGAAAAACTACTACGCGGATGGGCGCTTATCTCGTAATTGTCCGCCCGGACGTAATTCCCCCGATCCTATATCCGCTGTAGCAGTAGTAGTAGGGATTACACGTGTATATACGAGTGAGAGACGAACCCACAGCAGCACCGCTGCGTATACCTATACGATCGTCAATATTCATAAGGTCGCTGTTAACAGTTGGCCGGATATGTCCGGGGAGCTAAACGATTTTTCGGCTCTTTAATATTATATTATATTTAATATAATATATATAGATATATAGTAATAATAATAATAATATACATGTAGGTAGTATTATACTATACGGTCCATCAACCGTTATCAATATTTAATACAACGCCGCCGTCTTTCTGTTTGACCGGAATTTTATCCGCACGTTAATGCAATGCCAGCGTCCGCCGTTAGTTTTTCTCTCTTTAGATATAAAAGAGCCGATTTTCCTGTCAGCCGACCACCCCCCCCCTCCCACGTCTTCTTCGTTTTGTAACCACGACCTCTGTCCCTGGGCAGGTTATTCGGTGGCAAAAGAAAACTTCCTTCAATTATATACTCGGCGTAATATCATGTACTTATATAAGTGTACGTTTCGTTCGGCGTATTACCATTAATACTTCGAACAATAAGTATCATGCGTTAGTTACTAATTAATAGTAATTATACGGCAGCAAATTGATCGTCTTCAAATTCGTCGCAAAAAAAAAAAAAAAAAAACATAATTTGATTAGAATATCGGATTTCTATATTGTTGACATTTTCCCATGTACACTTTTTTCATGTTTACTTGTCTTAAAATATAATATATTCATTTTCAAATTATTTAATAATTTGTCGTTGTAAATTATATTGGCTTTACCCCGGTTTCGATATTTTCAAAATTGAACTTTATGTTTATTATTATAACTCGTATACAAGTCAAATAGTTCGTTAATAAAATTCTAAAATCAGTAGGATTTTCATGAAATTATCGAGCGAAAACCCGTTATTTATAATACTCATAGAATGAATTAGTCTGTAGTGTTTTTAGTACGGACAGTGAAACTTGACAACTGATAAAATACAATTCCTTCATTACATTAAACGGAAAATATAAAGGTGAAATATTATTATAGTTTAAGGTGTAAATGTTTAAATTTAAGTTTTTGAAAAACTTTTTTTTTTTTTTTATTGTATAACCGGAAAAAAAAATCGCCATTGAAATGTTACCAATGCAATTCTTATTATTATTTTTGGCAAATAGTTTACAACTATGATCAATTCATCGAACATTTCATTATTTAAGGACCTACGTTTATTAATACTGGACACCTTGGACACTTTGCACACTTTAACACACCTTAAATACCTAACCTAACCTTAAATACTTGGACCCCTTGTTGTGATGAATGTTATTTATACAAATTTATAATAAATATTAAGACGTTGCTTCTATTATAGGTCAAAAAATCCCCTCAAAAAACCTTAAAATTAAATTTAAATTATCAATTTTTTCAGAAATTTGTTAATATACGAGACACTTTTTAAGATGTTTTTATAGATAATTGTATGGCATACAATAATAAGATCTGATACATTTTTATGTGAATGCTATAGTTTTTTAAATTAAATTTGAAAACCACCCTAACAATCCTCTTTGTTCATTTTACAATGACTACGCATCGCGGTACGTGAAAGGAACTGTGCTGTTATCCCTAAATTTCGTCAAAATAACGCTCCTACATTGACGTACAAAATTCAGGAGGAGAGGACGCTCGATCAAAATTGTTTCAATATTTTTGCCCGTCTACAAAACAAAACATTTTTTTTATGGTAAATATATCGAGAACCACTTTTATTTTCGATGTATGTATTCGATTTACGCGAAAAAATCGATCATTTAATTAAATACATTAGATTATAGGTCCAGCAGTAAAAACAAGTTATCCGGCCCGATGAGCGACGGAATGAAAAAATACAAAAAAAATAAACGGTGAGCGCGGGGACTTATATTATGTAGTTTTATGCGTTTTCCCCTAAATCTTGATCCACCGTATATAATATATATGTAATGATAATAATAATTTATATATTATGCTCGTAAAACGTAAAATCCGTACGCAGGAAGGTATTAAATTATTATTATTTTATATGAAAGACATATTATATTTAATATATATAATGTATATATAACGTAATAATATTGTTATCGGGGTGCCCGGAGAGAGATAAAGAGGGAGAGAGAGAGAGTGAGAGAGAAAAGGATTTCCGGACGCGCGACAGCGGAGCGCGTATTAGACGAGGTACGTGCGCTCGGACGAGCGAACCCGGGCGTGCGGTAATCGTTTGTTAGTACCATGAACAACCCTGCGCGGTTCGGTTCGAAAACCCCGGGAAATTCTTATGGGTTTTCCGAACCGTAAACGATTCGCCGGACGGAGACTCCCGTGTCATTTCTACCCATTTTCACCGTCCCTTCTGACTGTTACATCACGCGCGCGCTATATTAAATGTGTTGTGTACCCTCGGCCCAAAGGCTTATCGTCTCGGTCGTATATAATCCGGTTTCGTAAAACGGCCGCCACGTGTAAATCACGCGCAAAACACGACATCGGTCCGGCCGGCAGCTGCCGTCTAGATAACGTTATTTTATAGGAAACGCCAGTGGCGGATATTTGAAGGGGAGCGATTGGTGGAGCGCCCTCCTTGGGATTTTCGTCACCACTGTAATATTATAACCTACAACCACATGCTTGAAAATTTATATAGATATATAGGTATAGGTAGAAGGTACATTAAATCATAAATGTTCAATAGTTTGAGACTCTGAGTGGAGCTAAGAAACTCATGTATTTTTTTATTTTTTTCTGTGGACAACTTTTCTACCAGGAACTTTACTCCGATTTTCCATGATAGAATTTTTTATAAAAGGTAATCTAACTAGAGGGAGGTACTTTAAGGAGGTCATTTTTTGATTTTCCCAAAAAATCGAAAAATCCGGGAAAAGGTAGGAAAAACGGGAAAACAAATACAGTATTAAAGAAAATGTATAATACATATGTAATTATTTTACACTATTATAACAGAATATTATATTCGATATTCTTATAAAAAAAACGATTCAAAGTTATAAATAAAAATAAAAAAAGCCTTTATACTTCGTACTTTGTGTAGGCGGTTGTTTTACGAGTGCGGAGTTGAAAAGATACGAAACATATTTTAAGAAATTATTTTTGGTAAATATCCACTACGTCTCTTCTCCCTTAAAATGAGCTTCATGAGAAGATATACAAAACCTTCCACTAAACTTTTGGACGTTCTTAGTTATCCCTAGTAAGAAACTTGGTGGAATAATCATAAACTATTTTAACCACCGTCGCGGTCGCGAGGTAGGAAACAGCAGAGACGGTTTTCAAATCAGCTGCTTCCTTTGTCCAAGACGGCCATGGTTTCCTCCCGAAAACTTTATTTGTAAATTTATTTTGCCTTTATTGCACATAGACCGTTAATAGCTAAGGAAAATAGATTTTGTTTACTATCGCAGAAGTACGAGCATAGGTGGTAATAAAGAGGGTGGGTAGAGTATGTAACTGTTCCTTCTGCGGATTCACTGTTTTTCCCCTATACGTTAACATATTTATATTATATTGTATTTTATCTTAATCTATCAAAAGTCTGGTTTGAAATTTTAACCTAGTTCACATCGTTATCAAAACAACTAATTGGTAAACATCATAAAATGTCGATTTACAAAGTTCGAGAAATTTCGAGAAATCGCATGTTTTTCTGTTTTTTTCTTAGTCGGAGGTGTAACGTGTTTTCTCGTGACGACTTAATCACGGTTTTTTTCCCAACACAATATTCAATAAAGCCATTATCGTTCAAGTTGGCCGACGCTAATGGAGCGTTCGAGTTTGCCGACGGATTTTATCGTCAGCCGAAGATTTATATCGTCTCTATAATAATATAACGACGATCGTTTTGGCAAAACAACATCGAACGCAAATAATAATATATATATATTATTACAGGCAAGTTTTTCAGCCTTTATAAAGCAGACGAAATCAAATAAAGGACCAGCACACGACGATTTACAGAATTTGGGGCCCCCAAGGACTTTAATACAAAATAGGTCTATAAATAACTTTCACAAACGATTTTTTTTTTCAATGTGTCCTAATAAATACGAAAATGAATTGAAATCTGAGGTCTCTCAATATTTGGAAGTCAGATAACTGTATAAAATTGATCATTAATAGGTTTATAAATCAGACTTTGGTCCAGACCGATAACCTAAACCTAACCGCACGTTCTACTCGCGAGTTAGGCGAAGCGGATTACGTGACCCTAACCAAATCTAGTCTATTACCACAAAATATAAACAACGATTGGTATACTGAATGATGCGGAAATTCAATAATCCGAGATCGTTTTACTCTGGTACGTAATAGAGTCGTCATTGAAATATATTTACGATCGGTAAACGTTTCGTTATATCGCCGGCATTGCGCAACCGACCAGTTGACCAGTTTATTACCGTTCGGTGAATAATACGATCGTCATTCCAAAATACTACGCTAGCGGCAGGCCGCTAATCTGCCGTTTCACCGATCCACCACCGTGGTCATATGCATCACATTTACTCATAATTTTTACGGGTTTCGTCGAAAATAAACTTTAAAATTCTTTGATTATACGTTAAAATTACAGTGGCATTATAATACGATGGTCGATAGACCTTATAACGAATTATCGAGCATTTGTAACACGATGCCAAGGTACATTTATTAACGTAAATAAAAGACACAAATCTCATCTAAGATAATGGGAAAAGGTGCAGCCATTGTTATAGGTGAGAAGTTGAAAAGGTAGTAAAGGAAAAATTTTTTTACTAATACCTTTACATTTCGTATAATTTCCAATTTTTCCTCAGTTTTTTCCTGGTTTTTCACATTTGTTGAGAAAACTCCTGGAAACATCAACAAATAACCTAACCTAACCTAATCTTGAAGTATCTTCCTAGTCCGATTTTGTTCCAGAAAAAGTGCTATTATTGTAAATCAAACCAAAATTCATAGTAGAAAAGTTGTCCACAAAAAAAAAATAAACATCATTGTAAAACTTCAAAGCTGTAAAAGCTCCACTCAGAATCTAAAAAAAATGTCCTATACAGAGTATTTAATGAGGGTATGAGTATTTTGAGTGTGTATGTGAGCCTCTTCAAAAAAAAACCACACCCTTTGCGATCGTATCACTATACCTATACCCGGTAAAATGGTGAGCGACACAGCTTGATTGGTTTATACGATTTTCCTGAATTTACACCGAGTGTCAAAAAAAACTAAAGATAAACCTAATCTGTCGTCAATCGTTTCAGAGTGACATTCAGAATGGGATCAGTTCGGAATCCTAAAAGTGACAATATTTATAAACGATTTTTGGTTTTATCCGATCGTTTCACTGACGCTTACGGAATCCTATAACGAACAATTTCGAAAATACAGCCTAATATAGATTAATTTTTTTTTTTTAATACAATTTTAAGCAACTATAATATCATTATTATTAATATTATTGTTGTTTTTGTTATTATTATTATTATTGATATTGTTATTAAAATTTTTGTTATTTTTTCTTCGACTAGATAATGAGCCCCAACAGGTTCGTGTGGGGGCACATGAGTTCATAATTTATAACAAGGAAAATATTACATTCAAATAATAATTTTAATTTAACTTTTGTTTTTCAATTTTAGACAAAATTGTATAACAATAATTAATATATTGAGATTTAATGTATAATACAGTTATTTTTGATATGTTTGAAAATATTTTTAATAGTAAACATGAGTTTTTTGTCTAAGTTGTAATTTAGTATTATTTGAATGAAAAGAGATTTTTTTTTCAGTTCTCATTTTAAGTAGTTTACGTGTGTCACATATATAAACCTACTTTTTCACATTTAATGATTTAATGCTACATAAGGTTAAAATTGTTTTTAAATAAGTTATGAATAAAATTGTTATAGTATAATATGTGTGCCCAATACTAAAATGAATAAAATTTGTTTTCCCAATGAAAAAGTAAAGATATAATCCTGTTGTAAGAATTTTAATTATAATAGTGTTAAAATATTATAAAAAACTAAGGTCTTCATTTGTTCTTACTTGGGTTTTTTTTTATAGCATTTATTCTGGTTTCCCAAAATAGTTTTCTGTTAGATCCCGTTAAATTGTCATTGATATAATTTCTTGATCCTTTGCATTCTAGTTTTTCGCGTTTTTTTATAAATTTGTTAAGTTTTCGTTTAGATAAAAGTTCAACCATTTTCAAAGGCGATTCTAGGTTTTGATTCGAAGGTTTTCCGTATGCATTTTCGATATCAAAAAGATTAAAATCAATATTAATCTGTGATGCAATATCATTAACTAATTTTTCAGTGTATTCATTAGTAACTATTTTTACTACTTTTATTTCCATAAAATAAACTCTCTCATTTTGTTCCAAGGCATTTTTTTTTAAAAATTCTAAGTTTTTAATAATGCTTTTTTTCTCTTTTAACATTTTTTCAAGCTTTAGAATTCTATTGCTAAAAGTTAAAAGGGTGTTATTTTTAGTTATTTAGTTTTTCATAACGTCATCTATTTTGCTTACAATTTTCTTAATATCAATGTCCAAATTTGTTACTGTATTGCTATTTATAACTTGTGACCGAGAAGTGAATTTTATCGGGTTACTTTTTTCTCTGGATTGTCTAAGAAGTTTGGTGCAATTCTCACAGTCGAATGAGATCCCTTTGGTCTTCATGTATTTTATACTTTCTGTATTCATATTTGCACATTCCATATGAAGTACTGAATTGCAAGTAGAGCATTTAATACTAAATACATTTCTTAAAATTGACACCTTGCATTTCGAAAACAATTCCATATTTGTAGTATCAGTAGTATAGCATATACAAACACAATAACCGTCTATACCGGTAGTCTAATTAGAACTGAACATAGATTGTGAGTAAAGCAAAGAACTTTTTTCCGTATTACTTATTAGTTTCTTTACGGCAGGGTCTACAATTATATGCAGTATCTAATATTAAATGTGCAGTAGCAAATTTAAAAGTATTCAGTACTTATTTAAGGCTTATATAAATTTGTATTTGTTAAATATCCATTATTAATTATTGAAAATAATGTAAATTTCTAATTAACATGTATTCATTTAAAATCCATAACACTAAAGATAATACCGGCTACACCGTCTGGATGGCCCCAATAACGACATTCGTATTTTTTGTCTTGTCTATTTAAATTCAAGCCTCATTCAGCAGTTTAATATTGGCTTAAAGAAATAAAATAGACATACTAAGGTACAGTCATATGCTGTTAAGCAGGAATAGTTTCAAAGGGTTTTCTCTGAAGCTGAAGATTCAAAAAGTATTTATTTTCCTGAGAATAATAGTACCAGAATTTGTTTTTGACTAAATTTGCATAATTGTTTTATATTAATTATAACATTGCGTTAAATTTTGTTCCCAGTAAAGTAGGTATTTGTTATTATTTAATAATATAAAAAGTATATTAACCCAAGCTTTTTAGTTTTTAATATTTTTTAGTTATATATTAAGGACTTTTATAGACGATTGTCTTAGATTGTATTTATTACAATTTATAACTAATTAATAATAAATACCAAAACAATTATGCAACGAAGTCATATGTGGCATGTGCACTACCTATGTTCACTATTTTAAAATATTTTGGTGTGTGTAATTAGATGTGCAGTAGCAAAATACCCCAACTTTAGGCCCTGCTTTATGGTTGAATTTTTTTCTTCAAAAAAAACTTTTTCGGTAGTAAAAATACTTCGGTTACATCATGCATGTATCTTAAAAAGATGCAGATTTTTCTCGCAGCGGTACGCTTTACGGGGAAAAAAAATTTCTAGATTTTCGATAGTTTTTCTAAAAACTGACAATTACTAACGTCGATACATCGGTTTTATTATCATTGATTTCTGTGATATCTTGACTACGAAAGAAGAACTAAAGCTACCCGTATTATTCGTTTACACAAGATTACAAACAGTTAATAGTAGCAATTTAATAAATGGTAATAGTATATTTTAAAGGTTTACCTGTTTACCAAGCTTTCAGGATTCGTGCTTTGATTGCAATTATTTATCGCTACTTTCCGTATATAGAGTGTACAGAGTTTTATGTTATAGCAAGTTTCTTCGATAAATGTACAAAAATGAGAACAATGAAACATTTGTATTAAAATAATAAGTACGCCGTGCCGTGTCACTACACAAACACAGAGTTCCACTACTTTACCCTAGTCTAAACTAAACAGCGAAATACGTCGTCAATACCAAATTGTATTTAAATAAATGCAATTTTGAGATTCGTTGGATTTTAAATATAGATTGCCGTTTGAAATTTAAATGTTGACCACAAAAGGGCGTCTAAACATTTCAAACCAACATATAATATTATATCACACTATTTAATACAATTGTTTCATTATACATTTTTCTCTATTTTACTTATTTATGCGCAGAGAAAATATCGCTGTAATATATAATTCTGTACACTATATATATTAAACTAACCTATGTGTTCATATATCTGCCATATACAACAGTGGCTAATATCAGTGCTCAATACAACAAATTAAAAATTGAGTTATCAAGAAGAATACAATTGACAAACAAGTGTATTTTTGGAGCTGGGACTCGCTTTTCGTTGCATTCGGCGATATTTGAACTTGACGAAAAATATATCTGATGTAATTTAAATATGATATCATTATTAAAATAATGCTCTACCATCTTTCCTCGAATCGATCACTACGAGAATATTTTGTATTCCAGACTACCCAGATATGACCAAAAGTTTGTTTTTTATTATCATCACTTTAATTCCATACATTTATAAATCTTTTTACAAATTTACAGGTATCGTGGGTGGTTCTCTTCAAACTAACTCTGGTGTAATTATCATCACGGTCGTCAATTTTGTACTTACATACATTCACAACATACATTAACGTTGTACTTTAAGTTTAAACCATTTATTGTAGTTGTGTTGCACTGTGTCTCTTAGAAAACGTGGTTTGGTAATTTTTGCGACTCACTATAATTTTGTGTATTTTTAAACTTTTTTTATGCGAATTACAACATGCAATGACATGCATATAATATTATAATTATCGGATCTAATTTTTGTTATACGTGCTGATAAGCGTTTAAAAAGAAGTCGAAAAATCAAATGCAATTTTCGATAAAAATATCATTGTTGTTAAAAAAAAAAATACAACAAGTACTACGAAAACCACAATCTTCCGAATGCACTGCATGCAAACTACATTATCGAAATCGTATTATAATCATAGAACTATAAGGAAATGGACTGATATTTCCTTCTCTGTTCCGTCTATAGTTCTTCCAAGACAACATTATTGTAAGAAAGTGACAGAGAATCATATAGAAGACCTTCGTGAGAAAGAACTTTATTCTGCACTCAGAGAACAACTAATAATTAAACAAATTTGCGTTACCCCATCAGTTGTCTAGTGTCCTCGGAAATAGCTTAACTAACTGGTGGCACGTGTTATCATACTAAATGTTCCGTCTTGTTGTATAATAATAGTCTATAAATCCATTGTCCCGAACACGTAAATTAACTGATATCAGTGAAACGATGACGGATATAATTTATTAAAAATAACCATTTTTCATCTCCACGATAATGACTTTTTTATATCTTCTACGATATTTTAATGTTCGCTTGTATCTTTCTACCAATGTCAATACACTAAAATATATTTCTATTCTAAGTATCAAAATAACAGTCTCTAAAAAGTTTATCCAAAATAATAGACAGTAAAATGAAAAAAAAACCTTTCGGTTCGTTCAGAATCTATAATGTTTACTTAATTATCGAAATGCTCTTAGGTAAAAGAAAAACGAGTTCAATAATCTGTAAACATAGTTTAGAGGGGTTTTACAAATTCTTTACGGACACACGCTCTGTGTGTGGTATATTCAACGACCAGATCCGAATTGTTTTTATTTTCGTTAATAGTAGGCCTGATGTAGGTATCTATATTCTATAACTATATATTCTTTTCTTTTTCAACGCCACAAATATAAATGTAAATACCTATACGCTTTTACGAGAGAAAAAACTTTCGGACGATAAGAGTAAAAGTTTAAAGATTCAACGCGACATTTATGTGTTGTTAAAATATACGGGGCGACAATAAAAATAAAAAAAATAAAAAAGTCATTATTGATTTATATTATTGACGCGAAACATATTAAGAGCAATTTTCGGTATAAACCTCTACATAAATTGAATTTTGACGGTGATTAGTTTATGTATGCTAGCTAGAGATGAGTCTGTATTTGCACTAAAATCACAATCTATATATGTATCGATTACCTCATAACCATTAAAATATATAAATGTAAGAGTATATAAATATAAATATTCAATTATTTTGACATATATAATACACTAGCTGTCCCACGCCAGGCGTTGCCCGTGCCAATTTTTATTATTATTATTTTACACATATTAATTTTTGGTTTTGACCGTGTCAGAATTGAATAAAAACAAATAGATGAAAGGTGGGTAAAATCCACCTTTCAGGGTAGTCCACCTTCAGTAGACTAAATGTGTTCTATTGTAATATTTTAATAGTGCAAATAATAGTAATTATTATAATAGTTTTCTTTTCCGTAACACAAAGGTAACCCTTGAATAAACAAAAATAAATAAATAGGCAATTAGATCTTCGTACCAAATATATCTGGAAACCCCTATTTTAACCCCTTAGGAATTTGATTTTCAAAAATCCTTTCTTATTAATCGGTGAAAGTAATAGAGGAACCACTATTCAAAATTTCAAGTGCGTACGTTGAGTAGTTTTTGAGATACAGCGATCAGTGTGTCAGTGGTATTTGGATTTTATATATATAAAATTATGTACTCTTTCCAGTTTAATATATGTTTTTGTGGTGTATGAAATTGAATGCTTTAATTTTATAATGTTTTTTTTTTTAAATAATTTATCAATCAATTTTACAGTATTTTTCATTTTAAATTTGTTCTTTTCAACAGTGTTTGTCCGCTTTTAATTTTAATTCGTAGCAGTGCTTGAAATGTTCGTTGTATAAAGGAATCGGTTTACATTAATTTTATTAAAACAAAAATCATTTCAGTCTCGTTTTAGGATTAAAGAATGAAACTCGTTCCTTTCTCTCCATTCGTCTCATAAAACTAAAAATCTCATTAATTTGTAAATATATATATTTTATTAAATTCAACTTAAATACATTATCAGCTGCATAAACACCTAATCTGCTGTCCTTCATAGGGGACATTGACACAAACTTATATATTATTAATCAATTTGATAAATGTTTATGGTTTACTTAATATGACGTATCACATAATTATAAAATTATTGTGTAAACATTGACAATTTTATCAACTTATCTTATATAATATTGGCACAGGAATAATTTTATAAACCTGACAAACAATTTTTTGTAAATATACTTCTAGAAAAAATTAATATACACATTATATTTATAATTTATTTAAATCAGATAGATATATTTAAAAAAAAAATTCAACAAAAATCTTATATGCACTTCGCAAATCGGTTTCCGATAAATTCCTGAAAAGCGAATGAAATAAAACAAAATAATTTCATTGAATCCACTCCTTTCTAGCACTGATTTGTGGTTTATTTTGCCACCTAACCTACTTAACTACTTGGCTAATATTATATTAGATTGAAGGCCTACCGTGACTACATTTTCCTTCCATGAATTTCCGTATGTTTCTGTATGTTATTATATTTCCCATTAGATTGTCGTGATAATCAATTAAATTAGTATAGATAAAATTTAATTACCTAGAGTTTAATATGTTCGTAAATTATATTTTTTCAGCGGTCTTTAAAAATAAATAAATTATCGCTATCTTCTTTACGTCTTCAAACGCTTGATTGGTTTGGTGCATATCTCCAAGTGTCCCTATCGTTACTCAGTTCCTTTAACTCCTTATAGCTATTCTTTAGCATATCTATCATAATTTGGTTCATATACTTCATCCTTGGTCTTTCTCTTCTGGCATGACCTTCAACGTCACCTTCTATGACGCTTTTCGTTGGGTTATCATGGTGTAGTAGATGTCCTGTCATTTTGTTTCTTCTAACTATTATGGTTTATCAAAGTTTTCTCTTTTCTTTTATTCTATCTAATACTGCTTCATTCGTTATTCTTTCAATCCATTTAATCTTTAGCATTTACAGTAACACCACATTGCGAAGGCCTTTAGTTTCCTTTTATTACTTTCTGTTTCTGTTCTACTTTTCTATTTGTAAGAACTTTTTCCTTACCTTTAATGTCACACTATAAGTGATTAATAGGTTTTATTGTTCTGAAAATCCCTCTTTGCTTGCGCTATTCTACTTAGAATGTCATCTTTACTTCGACTATATTTCGTTATTTTACTTCCTAAGTAATTAAAGTGATGCACTTGTTCTATACGTGCGTTATCTATTTTTATATTAAGCTGAATAGGATTTGTCTTGCTGCACACCATAACCTTTCTTTTTTTTTATTTAATCTTATTCAGTATTTGTTCCAAAATATTTTATTTACATTAGATAAGATGTTTTGCAGGTCATCTTTCGTTTCTGCACAAAAAGTAATGTCATTGGCAAATCTGAGTGCATTAATAACCTAACCTATTCTAATTTCTTGTTTAATATCTATTTTTATAATTCCTTGACCATCGCTACATAATTATAATATATATAATGGTTTATTTTGTTGTACAACTTTACACTCAGATTACCCACTTCATCATTAGTCATCCAAAAAAGTTTTCATTTTTATTATCTACCTGAATTGGACCGTTGGAAACGTTATCTCATCGTTGTCCATTGGTCAAATAAATTATAGCGACAGAGAACTTAGAAATATTCTATGAATTTACACTTTTATATCTCATACCAGTGGCATTTTTAAAGGGGCAATTAAGGAAATTTATCTCCCTCGCTCAACCTTGATATAGTGTATCTTATTTATACTTATATTTATTTTTTTACGTTTTAGTCAGCAGAAACAAAAAAAATGTTAGTACCTGTTAATAGGTATATCAAAAACAATTGAATACTATATTCGTTTTCTCGGTTAAAATGAAACCTACTCGAATCACTGTAACATGAAGGTCAGTTATATATAATTAAATAACTATTTATTTAATTTAAGTGATAGTTTCAAAGCAGATTGAACTATAAACTACTTACAAATAAATTTAAAAAATTATATATTTTTTTTAATCCCAGGTATATTTTATTTTACAACCTGACACGATTTCCCAATACTGTATCTCCTTTTTTGACAAAATCCTAAATACACCATTGTCTCATACTACAATTACGAAATATACTGTTGAAATAATACAAGTGCTTTCTAATGCGCATTAAAATTCATATTTTTTTTTGCTGACATTGATTGTGCAATTTACAAATTCGTTTTAAAAAAAACCGTTGCATAATATCACATAATACTACACATCTTATTTATATTTTATGTTAAACGTTTTTACTATTGTCGTTCCAGGCGCTTGTTCGTAAATTATTAGGTACTTATAGCGTGGAAAAAAGTTCTCTATATTTTCTAAGCTGATGACAAATTTCCATTGTCCCTCGGAAATGTGTTTCAAGTCTCATGGATGACTACGTTGGTTGTTTCAAATACTCGTACATTAAATTCTACAAATATTATCATTTGAAAAAAATATTTACAAAGGTTTAGGCGATGATATGAAATACGGTCGACTACTTTACACGCGTTAAAAATGACTTTCGTTTACGGCTGACGCATTTCCTTCGTTCGAAAACGATTTCGGAGTCGCGTCACGTTCCGGAAATCGAGTTCTGTGTGACGTTTACGCATCCCGCGGCGGAGATTTTATCTTCTATTCCCACCTATGCTCAATCTCCCCCCCCCATCCTCAACAGAAATTCCCGATGACCGTACTGCCAACGCGTAATTGACAACATTTGTACGTGGTTGGTTTTTTTTTTATGTTGATGTTGATAAAATTAAAAATAGCAGCACGCACTAGAAATTTGTGACCGACTTTTTGGCTTGTTTTTCAATCTCGATCACAATATACAAAGAGTAATAAACTTCTCAACGGCCAAAAATATACGGTGGACCTGAAAAAAAATGGTTTGTACCTACCTAGTTGTTAGATGATGAACGTAGCATTTGAGCACACTATATGACGTATATTATAATAATAAATATTGTGTTATCATGGGTACCAAAAAACAAATTTGCGTCGGAGACGTTATGTTAGAACATGATGTTCTAACCTCTAACCGTCAACGTGTCATAATTTTCACAAACCAATTTTAAAATAATACTATTATCATGATGATGGTATAAGCAAGTAGGTATGTATTTTTATTTATGTGAAAAGCTGAAACTTTTATTCGGCTAAAATAATAATATTATGTACATATATGTAGATAATTATGAGTCGCTGTTTTTTTCTGGAAAAAAATTAAAAAATAATAATAATACTATCCGGACAAACATTATTTAATAATAAATCGGAAAACTGCCGTGTGTCAAAACTTGGTAATGAAAAAAAAACAATAAAAAAAAAAAAAAAAACAATTGAAAAACGGAATCACATTCGGCGGGGAAAGAGACGATATGATATTTGTTTCGTTAAAAACAAAAAAAAAAAAAAATGATATTGGTTATTTACAAAAAAATAAAAATAAAATATGTATGAAATTATACAATAATCGCCTCATACATGATATGATATATGACATATAATATAATATTTACATAGTATTTTTAAAAATATTTTACACGTGCGCACACGCGGTACTTACATTTCGGGTTGTTCGACTGCTGCGGACGATATGGTCGCGTGGTTCTCTTCACGTAGTCTTTTGTTTGCTTTCTTCTAAATTATTGCATGGGCGTATATTATCTACGAAAAAAAAAAAACTCATAAAATATCAGTTGATTGAGAAACAACGGAATTTACTTAAATTATAAATGCAATTTTCGTAATGTATTTTAATTTATCGACCCGAGGACTGGTCAAATACAATGGTTCATATGATATCGCATTATAATAAACCGTATTTTTGAATGCTCTAAACATAAATATAGTTGTAATATTGTCCACAAAAGAATAAGATCGACAAATGATTATATTTTTGCAATACGACAAATTATGGAAACATTAACAGAGAACAGATTTGGACGGTACTTGGCAATTTTAGAATCCCCACAATACTAGTACATTTAATAAGAAACTGTAATAAAAATATAATGGGTGAATACCCAGTATGAATTAAACGTTCAATAGTTTTGAAATTAAAACAGAATTAAGACAAGGGGATGCACTTTTTCCATTACTATTATATCTGAAATTAGATCAAGTTGTAAGAAACATAAAAGATAACAGATCTATGGAACTAATAGGGGAAAAGTCTGCTAGCATATGCGCACGAAATTGTTATAGTGGGAGAATCCCAAGATAAGATAATCTCAAGTACAATTAAGTTCATAGAAACCAATAATAGGACTGACAATTATAAAAAACTAAACAAAATGAATGATCATATTGTATAGGCAAGTAACTAACAAACAACATTTAGATGTAGGTTAATATTTTTTTGAGCAGATGGTTAACTAAGTTAAAAATGCAAAATGCCTTCATAATGCGTAAAACAATGAAATAGATTATAAAAACGAATACAATAATCATACGTTTCCATCACATTTAGTCGATTACAATTATAATAATATAATTATTGAATCGGGTGATAAATATTTGGGAAACACGACATTGGTGTGTATCCAACATAAAGAACGAAAAATCAATCGCGTTCATTTAATTTAGTTTTAGATTTGACGAGTAGCAAAGAATGTATAGGTTTTACTACGAATTATAATTTTGTTTGTCTGTAAATTATTATTTTTCTATCAAAAATCTCAAAATCGAGTATCTAGGAGGTCTTTGTTAATTTCCGAAACGGAAAACCCGGAAAAAAAAGTGTAGGATAAATATTAACGTCGTATATGATTTCATTATTTTAAATTTTTTGAATTTTATTTTATATTTGAAATCTTCCTCTAAATTTTAAGAATACTGTCTCTTTTGAAAGGAAAATTTTCGAATTTTTTTTTTATATTTAGTTAGTATTATGTAGATAAAATTATTTGACCAAACAGAAACGTTTGAAAATTTAATAAAAGGTTCACTATAAGTTTAATTCAGCAAAATAAAAATATTGATTGTCATGTAGTAAATTTGAAATTCTAAGTGTAACGAAGTACTCTGATGTATATGTTGTAGACCTTTTTCTGAAAGAAAATATTCTTAGGAAGGTACTTAAGAAGGTCATTTTTTTGATTTTCATCAGAGATTGAGAGATTTCTCATCATATGTAAAAAACCAGGATAAAACATGGAAAACCGGGAAAATCATGGGAAAATCGAGGAAATCAGCTAATATTAAACAGATATTATTAAAGAAAATATATAATGCTTATTTAATTATTTTACCATAATATGAAATATATAATATTGCTGTTGAGCATCATTATCAACTGAACTCCGCTCAAAATCGTTATTTGTAACCAACGGTTTATCGTTGCTTACAGATATACATTAAATTTCCTTCTGTATCCTACCTTTACAATTTCCCATCTATAATAGTAGCTGCACTCATCACCATTTTTCTAGGACAGGTTTTTTTTAAAAAGAATGTATTTATTGCTATTTTATATGAGTCTTGAAATCAAATTTTGGTAAAAACGTGAAATTTACAGCATTTCAAAAATAGTATAAATTAACTTTGCTCAGAATTGGTTTTTTTTGGAAATAATTGTTTACTGATGTAAATTAAAAAACTTTATGTACCTTTCCTTCTTAACTTTTTATTTTCAGCAGTGTCATACCCGTCCCCCGCAACAGATTTTTTTTTTGCTTTTAAATTTATTTCTGATCGATTCGTTTTACTAGGTAATAATTTACTAAACGTTTACTGAGAATCTTTGTAGAATTTCACTGAAAGACTCATCGATGATTCATTAAATTAAAAATAAATAAAATACAAACAAACATTCTTCAAAGAAATACAAATAAAATAATTGAAAGGTATTCGGTACCTCGGGATCGACGACGTGATCGACTTTACTCGATTAACGATAACGACGACGGCGTGAAGTTTCGGCCGGTAAAAACTAAAATGGCTACCCGTCGTCTATGTTGAAATAAATATATTCGCTTGTCAGGAGACGTTGAAGGGGATTCTATATATACTATTAAACGTAATAATAATTTCGTTAGTCATTATATAAAAGGCTGTTCTGATTCGAAAATCGTTTCGGGATAAAAAAAATTAGATTATCAAGGGTGAAATATTATATGAAAGAAAATACTCATTATATATAATATCATCATGTTGTACATGCCGAATAATTTACAAATAAAGTCTTATTAAACGACACGAGTCGACGAACAATCAAACAAAAATAAATCGTTAAAATTTAAATACCCTTAATAACGCATTATTAGTATACGTGTACATTTCAATAATATGTTAATTTGAATAAACGAACAAATGACAATACTTCTACAGTTTATATTTTTGATCCGGGTTTAAGGGGGAAAAAACAAGAAATCTAAATTATAAAGCATTGAAATAGGTTCAATAGAAATTGTAATAGGCACATGTTCTAAAACATAACATATTGTTGATGCAATTGGTCCGAAATTCAGTGTTATCTACTAAATTTCCATCAGATTCGAGTTTTCCGAAGATTGTGTTACGCGGTTTTATCTGAAATTTTATTGTTTACTATGGTTTTAATTGATATCAATATTATAAAGTTCGTAGTATTTGATAACATATAGAATATGTTCAATCATGATATTATGATCATCATGGTCCATTTTATCCAATGCATAATTCTATGAACATGTGCGTTTCCAACATTCTTCCGACGGATATATTGTTTAAT